ATGTACACTATTCCCCTGTTCAGAAACCTCTGGTAAATTCTATTCCTTACAGAAGAAATACTCCTTAGCGTTGCTTTACATGAACTAGACCTAAATTCTATTTCTAGCCCCAAAACTTCCGTTTTCCACAATTTCTGCTACATGCGAACCTCAGTATTCTCCATAATGCCATGTTCTTTTGGGACCAACTTCCTGGTCTTGCTATAGCCTCTATTATAATTGTCCCCCCTCTCTTTTTCCCACATGGCAAACTTTTATCTATTCACTAAGACTCTACTCAAAATCATCGATTTTGGCAATCTTTTTCTTTTCAACTAGACAGTTAATCACTTCCGTGCCCCTGTAATATTTTTATGTTATAATTATTTTTCTGCCTCCTTTATTAGCTCTCTCAAGGGCTTAAACCTTAACTTATCTTTCGAATCGCCCTCAGTAAATAGTTGAGGGTATGCAGCTTGAAGATATTTAATTAATGGTGTAAAAGCTATTATTGACTATAAACTTTCCATGTACAAGACATAGTACTAAGAACATTAATCTTTACAATAACCTCAAAATATAGGTAGCATAATTTTCCTCATTTAACAAATGAGAAAACTAGACTCAGGGAGGTTAGGTAAGGAGTGTAAGATCGCAAATCTAGAAATTGACAGAAACAAGATTCAAACCTAGGAATTGTGACTCCGGAGAACATAAATGATGAAATTATTAAAAATTAGATTTTCTTTTATAAACATGATATACTCTATAGTCTATATTTGAGATTGTTTACAATTCATGCTTGGTTAGCATGTAGTACATTAAGAGCTACATTCATCATTATATATGTCAGAGCAAACTATAATATAAGTTTTTATTGAAATTTGTGGAATCCATTGCTATATCATTAATCTTCTTTGTTGTTTACAAAAATTACTTAGCTATTCATGTAATGTAATGATCTGCTTTCAAACTAAAAAAAAAAATCAAGGGAAATGTTTGTGCCAGTCATATTATTTGATTATCTCATGTTTCTAGAAAAGAGGTCTGAAACACAGGTAGTGCTGGAGAGGGCAGAAATAACTATTCTACCTATTCTATGTGACAAGAGATATAGGTTAAATATAAAATAAATTTAGCTGCTTCGAATAATAATTTGAGTCTGATAATTAGAATGTTATTGAGGTCATGACAAGAAGGGACCCTGCCTTGGATAGATGTTAAACTATCCTTTTTAAAACAATTATTATTATTCGCCTGTTTAGAGGACTCTCCTAATATCCATGCTTGGTACACCTGCATGGAAACTTTTTACCTTTACCAGTGTTCAGGGCCAGTCACATAGTCTGTGGAGCCCAGTGGAAAATGAAAATGTGGGCTTCTTGTTCAAAACTTATTAAAAATTATTAGATAGCAGCAGAGCATTAAGCCAACAGCGGGACCCTTCTAAGCATGGGGCTTTGAGTGATTGCACAGTTCATATGCCCATGAAACTGGTCCAGTCAATCAATGGTCTCTTTACTGCCACCACAACTCAGAAGAATTTTAAACTGACTCTACTATAGTGACCTAGCCTCACTTCTGAACTTTAGGCATTATTCCTCATTCCTAATGTGCATGCATACATACACACGTACAGACACTTATCGGCTAGGTATATGTATATAATATATTGAATATATATATATGTATGTATATATTCCTGATATAACTATACGTGTATGACATTTACAGATGAGTATGTTTCAGAAACAAAAATTAATTATAATATCTGCCTAATGTAGAAGCCTAGTTTTGATGAGTTATAGTGTCTCCATCCACAGTCCTATTTACCTAAGTAATTTTAACAATTAAAGTCCAGATAGAACACCCAATTTAAATGGTAACTGCCTCTCTATTGCCATTTGTAAACTGAGTGATATATGATTCCTCTTTCACTTTCCTGACCCTAGACCATGAATTCAGAAGGTTTTAAGTTATAATTACATGACCATATCTCCCAGTTGTCCTGACAAAGTTCCAGTTTACCCTTTTTGTCCCACTCAAGTGTCCCAGTTGGAATGATACTTTAATCAATTTAACATAAGCCAAATATATCAGAATATAGTTTTCTCCTTTTTTTATTTAAAGTATTATAAAAATAATAATAAAAAACCTTCAATCATAAGCGTAACTATTTTCAGTTTTTCATAATAACATCTATTTGTTGCTTGTATGTGTGTATATATATATATATGTGTGTGTGTGTGTGTGTGTGTGCTACTCATAGGAACAAAAGCTATTAAAAATAGAACATACTTTTTCAAAGTATTTTAGCTTTCTTGTTTTTAAACAAAAATAAAATACATGTACATTAAATAAAATTGAGAAAACTAAGGCAAGAAGAGTATAACCTACAGGCCCAGTAATTAAATATAGGTACTATTAATATTCTGATATATGTATATATAGGTGCCTTTTTCTATGGATATATTTTTAACATAGTGATAACAGATTCATACATTTTCCTGCATTTTCCATATAAGATTTTGTCATAAATATGTTTCCACATTATTATTTAATCTTAATCACCATTGATTTGAGAAGTTTCCTTCTGTTATAGATTTGGAATAGAAGAGTTTGAAAGAAATACTACTCTGCTTCATCAAGAATACCTACTGCAATAGAGAGACCTTTTTCAGAGAATGGAGAACACCATGCCGGATTCTAGTACCAGTCCTTCCCATGACTAAATGAAGTTTTGAGCAAGCCTCTTAACTTTTGAGCTCCAGTTTCCTTCTCTGTAATAGATAAGAATAAAAATAAGAACAATAAAAGTAAATGTCAGTAATATACCAATACTGTAGTGTTAATAGTAATAATATTAGCTGTCAGTTCTTAAATACCCAGAAAAATTTTAGTGTGCCTATTGTGTGCCAAAAGTATCAGTTATGGCGCTAGGCATTTACAAAAACTACATAGTCAAGACCATCTTATAGAGGAGCAATAAAGCTTAAAGATTTAGATTAATGGATATTAAGGCCTATTTTAAATCTATGGTAGTTAAGACAATGTAGTATTGGTGCAATAATAGACAAACTGAGAACAGTATACAGAATACAAAAATAGACACAAAATAATGGTCACCTGATTTAATGACAAAGACAGCACTGCAGTGCAATGGAGAATAGATGTTCTTTTCAAAAAATGATGCTAGGACAATTGGTTAAGCATACAGTCATCCACTTATCTGCAGGGAATATTTTCCAAGGCCCCCAATGGATGCCTGAAACTGTGGATAATACCAAACACTATATATACTGTTTTTTCCTATACATACATACCTATGATAAAGTTTAATTTATAAATTAGGCACAATAAGAGATTAACAACAAAAGCTAATAATAAAAAAGAACAATTATAACAATATACTATAATAAAAGTTATATGAATATAGTCTCTCAAAATGTCTTTTGCATTGTTTTTTCTTGAATTTTCCATTTAATATTTTCAAACCATAGTTGACTGGGGGTGACTGAAACCACAGAAAGCAAAACCTTGGATAAGGGGCTAATACTATATGCACTGACTCCTACTTGACATCACACGAAAATCAATTTTCATTGAATTATAGACCAAATATATAAAAAGTGAAATGATAAAGATTGTAAGATAAAAGATATAAAAACATCCACACAGCATTGGTGTAGGTAAAGATTTCTTAAACAGGACACAAAAACCACAAATTGTAAGAGAAAAGTTGATTAGTTGGACTCCATTAAAATTTTTAAATTATGTTTATCAAAAGACACTGGTTAGAAGGAAAAAAATAATTGTAAAATATAGTATATAACAAAGCCCTCATATATAGAATATATAAACAACTCCTGAAAGTTGGTAAGAAAAAGACAGTTCCAATAGAAAAATGAGTGAAAACCTATAGTTCACTAGAGAGAAAATCCAGATTGTCACTAACTATATGAAAAGTTGTTCAGTGTTATCAGTCTTTAGGTAAATGCAAGTAAAAGGCACAATATGATAGTACTTACCTACCAAACAAACAAAGTACCAAGATCAAGTGTCATCGAGAATATAGAGTAACCAAAATTCTCCTGCACTTTTGGAGGTTTATAAATCAGGACAACCACTTTGAAAATCTGTTTGGCAAAAAAGAGCAGAATGCATAAATAAATTGTGGTATATTCACACAATAGAATACTATTCAGTAATAAGAATGAATGATCAACAATTATATACAATAAAATAGATGAATCTCAAAAACATAATGTTAAACAAAAATGCCCAGACATAGAAGGGTATATAGTACATGATTCCATTTACATAAAATACCAAAAAAAAAAAAGAACGTTTTGTTAGAAGTCAGGATAGTGGTTACCATTGGTGTGGGTGAGCAGTAAAGTGATTGGAAGAGAGCCTGAGAGGGTTTCAGGGTGCTAGTAATGATCTGTTTCTTAATCTGAGTACTATGTATCTGAATGTATTCAGTTTGTAAAAGTGCAATGGTCTGTGCAACATTGTACAATGGTTTCTTAATCTGAGTACTATGTATCTGAATGTATTCAGTTTGTAAAAGTGCAATGGTCTGTGCAATGGTGTGTACTTTTCCATATATATATGATACTTGTAAAAAAGTTAAAAACATATCTGTACCCAACGAGTTAAGTAACATCCCCATTGTAAATATGAAGAAAATGAGAAATAGTGAATTTAAGTTACTTAGTTATTTTTATTAATTAATAGCCAGACAGTTGTGAGGTGGCTCAGATTAAATGGTTTTTAGTTTCCTTCCTAGTTCTAAGATACTACCATTTTGTAAATCTACCAATTTGGAATCTTATTAACTTCCTGACTTTCTTTTTACTTTAATTTCTTTTGGCCTTTCTAACCTGTTAATGTTTCCAAATTTCTATATGAAAGATAAGATTCTTTGATATTTAAAAGATGACAAGTAATCTTCTGGAATATTGGAGAATTTCTTATTTCTACTAATTTATACTTATTTTTTATGCTTATTTCCTTAGGCAAGCAAAGGTCGGACTACAATTGTAGTAGCACACCGACTTTCCACTATTCGAAGTGCAGATCTGATTGTGACCATAAAAGATGGGGTGGTGGTGGAAAAAGGAACACATGCTGAACTAATGGCAAAACAAGGTCTATATTATTCACTTGCAATGTCACAGGTAATGTTTACATGATATACCGTTATGTTAGCGGGGTTTATTTTTAACTCACCAGAGATTATACCACACTAAAAAACAGAAGTCCTAAATTATAATGTTAGGTTTCACAAAGCAACTAAGGTTTATTTGTATTTCCTCAGTGAAGAAATTCAGTGTATCTAATATTCCTCAGCACTGTGCTAAATAATTTGATGAAAGTTTTAAGAACTAATGGGTACATAGCACTTATATTTGCCAATCACCCTACAAACAGGCTGCAAAGCTTGTATGTGGCAGATTCAAAACAATCTGATTCTATATATTGTGATTTTTGTTGTTGTTAAAACACGAATATAACACATAATCCCTACCTAAAGACTTCAAAGGCAAAATGCAGAATTATGCATACAGATGTTACAAGTTGAAGAAATAAGCAAGATGGATGGGGAGAGGGGAAACTAGATTGCTCATGGAAGGTTGCATGAAGAGGCCTTGAAGACCAGCAGTTCGAAAGTGGAAAAGGAGGAGAAGTCTAAGTAGGTGGAACAGCAACAGAGAGGTAAGAAAGAAGGAACTTGATTTGCAACTAAATTTAAACGAGACAGGCTTCCGTGAGAAAAGATGAGTATTGGAGAATGATGGAAAAGAATTGGTTAATGAAGGTCATACGGTGGAAGTTCTTAGAAGCTAGGCAGAAGCTAGTTGAAACTTACTGTGTAAGAAGCACCTAACACAGTGCCTGGACACAGTGGGCACTCAATAATTGTATGCTGAATAAAGGGATACACAAATAAACCCATTCCATTTACATACCACATCCTCACAGGTGGACCATGTGGGCAGTCAAGAGGAGGCATGATAATAATGGAAACTTACTGGCAAATTCTTGTTTTTTAGGATCCACATTTCTACATACCAGGTGATCTGCCCTACTTGGTCTCACATTGTCTTTTCATAATATAAGTGATAGGGACTGGGCTCTAGCTAACTTCTTCATTCTGGCCAAGGCTTCTCTTGACCTAGAAGGCAACTTTCTTTCTAACCGGTCTTCTGCTGACAACTAATCTCAACACTTTTTGGTTTATTTTACTTCTTCAGATTTTTTATTATATTTTTGATGTCAATATTATTTCACGAGTTAGGAAATTTAGAAAGTTACGAGCCTCCATCTCTTCATTAAACTTAAAACTTCACATTTAAGACCCTAGCTTTCCCCACAATGCTAACATAAGCAGTTTTAAAGACATAATATAAAGCAATGACAGGAAAAGAAAAGTTTGAAAATTTAATCCTATATTGATTTAAAAACTGCCTGATTTCAATTTTATTTCATATTAGGCCATATTTTCCTTCAAAAAATAACAGTTAAGTGTTATTTGCCAGTTGAATTTGCATGATTTTCATTCCACAGTAGACTTAATAATTTATGAAGTTGTTAATTCAGTATTTTCAAACTAATAAGTATAACAATAAAAAGAAATAACTGGTCAAATTTAGCTTATTTTTTCTTAAAAACTACTACGCTAAGATCTTTCTTGGAAGTAACATCTTTATTTTTTAGTATAACTAAACCAAAACTCATTATTAAGTCATAGGTTAAAGAGTTTCAAAATGTAAAGAAAACGAAAATGGAATGTTTGTGATATAAATGTATAAAAATTTAAAATACCAATTCTTTTATTACCTAAAATAATGTTTATTCTGATGTAGCAATACCATTTTTAATATTAATACTCAATGAACAACTATAATCTAAGTACTGAACAATAAACATTATTTATATGATATCTACATAAACAATGACTCATTTCTGAAACCCTAAATATACTTATTCGCCACTATTGCCTATGGTGTCTAAATGAATTAATTTATGAGAATTCATGATAACCATAAGTATTACAAAGTTAGTTGCTATGAGAATTAATCCTGAGAAGTAGAATTGCAAAATGATTAAGATTATGAGCTCTGGAGACCCTGAAAGTTGAAATCTGACTCTGCCACTTAATAGTTTTAGGACTTTGGACAAGTTATGTAAATTCTCTATGCCTCAGTTTTCTAATCTCTTTCTAATGGGGAAAATAATAGTAACCTATTCATGAATTACTGTTAGTATTAAATTAGTTCATTCGTGTAAAGTGCTTTGAATTATTATTGGCATAATAAATGTTATTACTATTAATATTAACATCTAATCAAACTTTTCAAGAAAGTTAAAACCGTGGATATTAATGCTATAATTATTTGTCTTGAACATACATGATTATTTACAGACATACTTCTTTAGTGGGTTTCCATATGAAAATGAAATAAAAACAGGCAGAGATATACATATACCAAAACTTTTTTTATTTTGTTTAGCAGCTTTCTCAGGAAAAGGAATTGTCTTTTCCTGTTAAAGTAACTTCTTAGAATAATTTATTGTGAGAAGAGGTCAAAATTTTATTTTAAACTTAACACAAAGTAAATAAATAGCTCCTGAAAAAAAAAAAAGCCAAATAAAAGATTTCTTTCTTGGTAGAAAGAAATTTATAAGAAAAAAGAAAAAAAAGAAAAGTGATAGCGTAAAGGAATGCCTGGTTACAGACATTAGGATAGTATAGGACCGGTTAAAGTTCATTGTACTTTGAAATGACTGATTAACAGTTGTTAAGCTTGTCAAAGAATCAGTGTCCCTGGGAAGCCTTTCATGTGCATATTCTCCTTTGTACCTAAATCTACCTATGTTCTTTTATCTCCACTCCCCACCCTGGTCTGGGCCACAGTCATCCTAACTGGGCTCCTCATCTCTGTCTCGTCCCCTTCCTCCCATCACTTCATGGGGAAGTCACAAATTTACCCATACCACTCAGGTGAGCAGAGAATGTATAACTCCTTAATTTTACTAAAACTGGTCTCATTTCTCTGAATAGCAAGAAAAACAAAAATAAGACTTAAAGCAATCTGGTTTAGAAATTCATTCTATCGTACGATTTCTTGTTGTTTATGAGCTGGCCTCACCAATTTTGGTTTGTGATCCGTTTGGAATGGGCAGCAGCAACAGGCTGGAAAGTATTATTGTCTTCTGAGACTCCTTCAGGCCCAGGACCAGGCTCACATTTAAGTGCCTAGTTGCTTGTTATAAATTTATAAGTAAAAAATAAAAAATTTAAAATAAAGCCAGGAGGGTGTCAGAAAGAGAATCTTTGTATCATCTCCCTCACAAAGCTCCTCTTACTAAGATCTGTCCCTGCTAGTGGGTTAAGGCATTGTTTTCTCCTGTTAATTATACAGATCTTTAGAAAGAAGGCACACTAAGTTACTGATACTCACTAATTTCAGTATAAGTTGGACTTACTAGCTCTCTGTGAAACCTGAAAACTTCGGCAAGAACTGCATAAAAATATACCATTTTCAATAATAGAGACAGTACAGTTTTAGGGGGATGTTTAATAAAGTTCCTTTGAATTTTTAAGGCATTGACCTAATGGTAACATGTATATTCTTCATTTAAGGATATTAAAAAAACTGATGAACAGATGGAATCAATGGCATATTCTACTGAAAAAAATATCAGCTCAGTTCCTTTGTGCTCCATGAATAGCATCAAGTCAGACTTTATTGACAACTCTGAGGAATCTATTCAAAATAAAGAGGTAATGGTTCAACTATCAATGAGTTTTACCCATATGTTCTCCAATGAATTCTGATTTAATCCTTATAATATTTAGAATTTATTTATAATAAAATGTTACTATAGCACTAAATTTACAAAACAAGTCTTTCCCAAACTTCACCCTAGCATTGCTGTGACACTATAAGAAAGAACTCCTCAAATAAAACTGTATTTATGTCAGCTGTCATTGTTGGAGCAAGAAATCTCATGAGAATGTTCTTCCCTATGAGGCAGACGATGGGTAAAAACAGTGGCTCAGGAAGTGTGGTTCAGATACCACCAGTGATGCTCAAGATTAATCTGAGTCATATAAAGACCCAAATCCACAACACTACCTGGACACAGATAAACACCAGCACATACAGGATCTAGTCCTCTAATTCCAGGGCACAACCAGAGAGAGTGCTGAGGAAAATGTTCGGAATATAGGTTGAGGCCCAAAACAGGTGCTGGACATGTTAAGAGAAGGGAGGATAAATGGGGATACGGAAATGAGACTTGAGCTTGTAAAAGTGGAGGTTGAACAGAGTAGTACCAAGGGATATGAGTTGTAAGGAAGGTTGAAGCCAGGTGATCTGGACTTGAGGAAAGCCTGGGGGTAGGAGTGAGAAAGCAAGCATGAGAACAGGAACTCTTTGCCCAAGTAAATAACGCTGTGTGTAGGAGGGGCATGCATCAGTGACCTGGCTATAACAGAGGCCCATGTTCTTTTGGACAGTCAACTAGCTGAAAAGTGAAGCTCTTTATGACAATAATCTTCAGAAAACTTCAGAAGAAAAGATAATAGATAGTCAGATTATTAAGTAACTCAATATAATGGTGATTTAACCATCCTGAAAATAGACTTTAAAGGCTTTAGAATGTGAAAAGTTCTATTGTTCAAGCAATAGAGTTTACATTATATTGCCACACTAAGATTAAAGCAAGAATTATAAACTATTTTATTCTCTTTCCTGAAGAATTCTCTGCTTATTAGGTTCGTAAATGTCATTATTTCAAAAGTGAATACCATGAGGAAGTTTTAACATATGAAATGCCTAGTAGTTTGCTGTCTACTTTCCTATTCAAACTAATTACTCACCACAAAGCTATTCACAAGATTTTTAAAGTTTATCTCCCGTATTACCCTACACGCATTCCATTGAAGGGCTGGCAGATACTAAACAGCTACTTGCATTGTGCTTTCTCTGTATAAAACCTGGGATTTTGTGTAACATAATCTCTTCTCTGTAATATAACATCAGCAATAGCTATCACTTATTGGGTATTTATTGTTTGCAAATACTAAGTGAAGCTTAATTCTAAAAACAGTCCTATAAGATAGGAAATGATATCATCACCCTCGGAAGGATGAGGAAAGTGAAGCTTGGCAAGTGTAAGTAAAATGCTCAGATATTTCAGCAATTCACTTGTAAATGGGAACCCCAAAACAAGCTTTTAACCAAGGTATTAGAAAAATGTTTCTGTTAATAAGTCATGAAACTAGAAAAATTTCACATTTAAAATGCTAGTAAAACTTTTACCTTCTGTCTCTGTTTAGTGCCCACTTAAATTTTGTCCTATCATAGAGTATGATACTCCATCCAGTTTAATAGGAGTAAAAAAAAACATGCCTGTCATTTCTTCTGTGAGTCTTAGCTATTAGAACATGTAGGTTGATTTGTATTTTCAATGATAGCAACTGAGTGAAATCCCAAAATGATAAGTTGCATAAATAGTCACTTTTAGTAAGATTCTTGTATGTTTTAAGGTCATCATCAGTAATGTGAGCAGTGAAATCTTTCTACTTTCTAGTCTCTCACCTATTATATTTGTTATTTTACATTATAGATCTGTTTAAGATGGCTAACTTCTCTAAGTTCCATTATGCTCTTAAACTGGGGTTTTAACCAAGGTATTTTATTTATAGACAAGTCTTCCTGAAGTATCTCTGTTAAAATTTTTTAAATTAAACAAGTCCGAATGGCCTTTTGTGGTTCTGGGGACATTGGCTTCTGTTTTAAATGGAACTATTCATCCAATATTTTCCATCATCTTTGCAAAAATCATAACTGTAAGTAAAACTAATTTGCTAATATTTTTAACAATTTTAGACAAAGTGTAGTCTGAGAAAACAGACCTGTTGTACTCTGATCCAGCAAGGGAAAAATTGAGATTTGTGGTGGGTCACCTTTATTCACTGTGAGATCCATGATAGAACGGATTAACTGATGTTCTCAGGGAATAAGCCGGCCTCTATTGTGAACTGTTTGGCTGGGCCTTGTTGACTAGGCAATCAGTAAAGAAATTGCTTTGTTTTCTAATTTTGACTCCAGTGCTGTATCAGCATTCCAAAGCACTGAAGCAATAAAACAGACAAATGCCGCTGCTTTTCTTTCAACTAGTCTGAACAATGGCCATTTTTTATTACCAGTCAGATCAGGGAAAGGAAATAACAAGAGTTTGGGATTGTGCCGAGGGACCTAGGAAAGCTGATGGATCCAAGGATTTTACTAGAGCCATATTAAATTTTCAGTCTCTCAGATTTGCACAACTATGTTTTGTCAACATAGATGCCAATACATGTATAATTAGTAACTTTAGGAACAATTTCTAGGGACATGTATAAAGGTCTCATATTGTAGGTAGTGCTCTAAATAGAGGAATACTAAGAAACGTGAGTTATTAAAAGTTATTCAAAATAATAATTCAAGCTGATGGTTTCTTTGAAAATATATTGTGAAAATATATTGTGAAAATAATAACAGGACTCATTTGTCTGATCTCATATTTTCATAGCTTAATTGAGAAAATTAAAGCAAATTACGTTTTTATCATATTTAATGAATGTAGAGGGTAGAACAATGGTGTACTTTCTCCCAGAAATGTATATATAATCTTATCTTTATGTTGAAATTCATTTTAAAAATCCCAATTAATAGGCATTTTAGTTTTTTCTCTTCTATATTTTTCTCCAGTCACCTGATAAAAAATTCTGTTTCTTTTCAGATGTTTGAAAATGATGATAAAACCACATTAAAGCATGATGCAGAAATTTATTCCATGATATTTGTCATTTTGGGTGTTATTTGCTTTGTCAGTTATTTCATTCAGGTAAACTTTCAATGAATTAAATGATTACTTTTTATGTCATCCTCTCTATTTGAGTTAAAAATAATAACTAAATGAAATATTAAATAAGTAAATATAGTAACTAAGTGTTACAAAGAAATAAAAAAGAGAGTCAAGAATAAATGTAGATTTTCTCTTTGTTTTCCAGGGATTATTTTACGGCAAAGCAGGGGAAATTTTAACCATGAGATTAAGACACTTGGCATTTAAAGCTATGTTATATCAGGTCAGTGTTTAGTTGATTTTTTTCTTATTTACAATGTGCTTTTAAATATTCTAGCTTTGAGTTTTTCAAGTCAATTTCTTGACATAATCTTTCCTTCAGTCATTTAAAAGCATGCTTTTTGTGTCCCAAGCAGCATCTGATGTCAGAATTCTTATAGTATATTTTTCTAATAGAAACAAGTCCAAGTTGTTATGTTTGGAAATACAACTTATAGAAAACAAGATTTAGAGTCTACTCCTTGTTCCTTGCATTTTTCTTGACAAATCTTTATTTTAATGTATAATGTGGAGTTCCAGAATCAGAATGGAAGATCAAATTAAAATTGAAAAGAAGGATTAAGAGCTACAATATCACGGAGAACACATTTTAAAAGGAGTTAGGTTCTCTTGTTCTCATCTATATGTGCACAGCTTAATGTGGAGTTCCAGAATCAGAATGGAAAATCAAATTAAAATTGAAAAGAAGGATTAAGAGCTACAATATCATGGAGAACACATTTTAAAAGGAGTTAGGTTCTCTTGTTCTCATCTATATGTGCACAGCTTAAGTTTTTTTCACTTCATACTTCTTAAAGCAGCCAATCTCTCTTTCCTCATTGGAAAAGTCCTGAATTCAGATAACATCAATCTAGTTGGCAGGTCAGCCTGCTACACACAGATGATCAATCACACCTGTGAAATAACTAAAACTAGGTGGATCAAGTAGTAATCTTGAGAAGTGAGTCTTGGGGGCAAATGGCAGGAATGTCTCAGTTTGGCACCTCCAAAATTCTTTCAGGAGGCTGAGGAGTATTGGGTTACCCTGAAAGCCAGTAATCATTTGGTGCTCTTCGCCACACTTTCTTTCAACAGAGTTCACTGTGCAGGAACAAATAGCTTCCTGCTAGGGTCATTTCTTTTCAGAAATAGAGTTACTGTCACTCTGGTTGGGTCGTCAAAACCAGTTTTTACATCTTGTGACTTTTAGCAGTAGTGTTCTGCCATATATAGTAGAGGACCGCTATATAACAGAACTCCTTGGCCTTCGTGCTCACAGGGAGCTACATTATACAAAATGCAGCAAAGCAAGTGGGAGATTTCCCATAGCAACTTGATGTTCTGAAGCAGTTTGTGCCTGACACCCTCTGCTCAAAAAGGTCCAGTCAGAAACAACTGGAGACAGTCTTTAATCCAAAAAAACAAAAATCTACTTGAGGGATCACAAAACGATTTAATGCCTACACATCTCACTCATGCTAAACTTGGTACTTTAGTTTTTTATTTTTTTATGAACACTTTTTGTCTTCACCTCAAATCTTTCATGAAATAAGATGGGATTTTGATTAACTACTACTATATTTCACACTTGTTGACAATTTTTGCTCATTTTGTTTTTACAATTTATGTTTTTCCTTGTTCAAGGAAATTTATTTTTAATTTCTGGGAATTTCTGGAAATGTTTCTTGAATGTCTGAATGTTTTAAACAAAGGAGTGTACATTTTAATTTTTCCAAACATTACTTAGAAATTCTTCTCTAGAAGTTCACAGCATGTTTTTGGTGGAAGAGTCTCAAGGCTGTGAGCCAGTTTAACCAGTGGATATTATTAATCCAGTATCCTGATTGTTAATGCTGAACATTAATCCTCTGCCTAGCATTAGCCAGGTGAACACCAGGACAGTAACATTTTTGGATAAAGTAGCTTATGCCCATAAGATTGCAGCAATCTGTAAACTATAAACTCTGGTCCTTCAAAAAACATGCACGTACAAAGACAGACAGAAACTCTATGCTATTCAGCAGATATTATTAAATTCCCCCATAAATTTAACTTAGCCCCTTCAGCATATCATTTGTTTTCCCTCTTCATCCTTCAGCATTCTTTTTGCTTCTTAATTTTGTTTATTTTTTTTAATTAGAGGAAAAGAAAAGAATAGTATATTTGGTCTTTTCTTTGTAAATATCTCCCCCAATTTCAGTTGTATCTGTAGTAAGGGAAGTTCCTAATATTCAGTTTTGCCTAACTCTTATTAACTGGTTTTTGTCCTGAGATAAGACTTTTTAAGGTTTAGAAAGCATGCTGAGACTTGCTGTGCTTTTTATAACCATTTTGAAGCTTCATTTGAGGTAGAGGTATTTATGGAATCAGGTGTGGTCTTTTTGTCAGTATAAAATCTATATTTGATTTGATTACTTGAGATCCTTCCAGCTGAAAAGAATGTTCTAATTATTGCTGACTTTAGTGGTTGTAAATAATTCATTATTCATTGTTTCAAAGCTAAATTTATATTTCTTAATGATAAATAGTGACCTGTAGATCTATTAGGTTTTTGAACAGATTCGAAGTTTACTTTTGACCATTACTCTCTAAATTAGATTGGCTAGGGCTTCTGTGGAGGGCACTTTAAATCATAAGATAATAGCATTAATAGTTATCAGGGATCTCAGAAGGCTACTTACAAAAAGATTGGGGGGTAAAAAGTACTGAAGTAAGAGAAATAGGTAGTGAAACTCAAATATAATGCTTCTATTAGATGGGAGGCAGAACAGGATATTTGATTAAAAACTCTGGCATCTCGTTTCCAGGTTTAAATCCTGGCCTCAGCACTTGCCAGCTGTGTGGTCCTGGGCAAGTTATTTAATCTCTTAGTACCTCAGTTTCCTCATTTACAAAATATGGATAATCATAGTATCTACTTCACAGAGTAGTTGTGATGATTAAATGAAGAAGTTCATACCAAGTATTTATCATGATATTGTTCTTTCTAGTAGAATTATTGGCAGGAAAAAAATAGATTGACTAGTAATGAAAACCTGATAGCCTTACTTATAATCATTTTTACCATGTCTTTCTACATTATAACATTATATTTATCTAAAAATGCTTGTGCATTTCATGTCATGTTGAAATACAGAAGTAATTAGAAAATGTATAGTATAAATTTTTTTAATATACAATCAAAAATAAGTAATGTCTTCCAGTTCAAGAGTACTATGGTATTATTGTTGCTGATGTGAGTTCACGATATGTTAAGCTCTTGACTGGAGTTGTGTTTTCAAAGTGACGATATAGTGCAGATCATGATCTCTATAGGATGCCCTTTGGGTATCTAGAACCCTAGACTCGTTAGGACACCTTCCCAATCCAAGGACTTACAGAATAGTGCTGTCATGCCAGGGTTATACATACTCTGGCTCCTGCCATATTCCTCTATAAGAGCTTTCTTCTAACATGATTTCATGATAAATGCACGGCCCTCTATGTTATGCTTTTGTTTCCTTAGTTAGCAGAAATGTGTAACCTGGGCATCAGGGCCCTTGGCTGGGTTGTAGTAAGCCCACAGTTATTCCACTCACTAAAAATAATTGATTTTTCAGAGACAGTCTCCATCTAGAGATATAAGTGGTTTGAGTGAGTGGGAGGAAACATTCAATAGCTAATAAAAGGAAATCAGAATTCCTTGGATTGAGAAGTACTAAGCAGTGCTGTCTCTATTTGCTGTTGAAAATGAAATTGGTTATAACATTATGTTTTTTTATTGCTTGTATTTTTGACCTTTCTCCTTCTTCAGATTGCATGCTTCTTTGTTGCAGGGGTTTTATAGCAGCATTTCTGCCTCCTTAGCTTCTCACAATGGCCAGTGCTTATAAAATCTAGGGGTTATATGAAGTGGTAGGTAGAATCTTGCCTATGAGGGTCCTAAAGAGGAGGAGATAGGCTTTTTATCATTAATCAGTTTACATAGAAAGGTTTGGAGATATTTCTAAATTGTGCTGTTCATTGCCTCATTTGTTTAAATAGGGTCTGCTCTCCGCAAAGTACTTGTGGAATAAAATTGCAAATTATTTGGCGTTTCAAAATGACCATTCTTAACATTGATTATTATACAATATTGTAGCATGATAATGAGTCCAGCTGTTGGGCTTAAGTTCTTCAGTTTATATCTATGTATAGATCTTAGTGAAGTAAGAAACAAAAGTCATTTGATCCATAGTATTTATAAGAATTAAATACCTGTGAGTGAGGAGACAGATAAATGCCTTCTGACTTATACAACAGCAAAGTTGCAAATCAGAGAACTCTTTGATAACCTTATGTTAATTCTCTTTTTCCTCTAGGATATTTCCTGGTTTGATGATAAGGAAAACAGCACAGGAGCCTTGACAACAATATTGGCCATAGATATAGCACAAATTCAAGGAGTATGTATATTGCTTTTCTTTAAAATGGTATATGTATGTGGAATGCATGCATGCACATACACACAAGTGTCTGTGCATATATGTGAGCTACACTGAGATGACCCATATCATTAATGAGAACAGGTAAACCCCAGAGCTAACAGGGAGGTCTCAATGAAAGATGCAAGGAAGCCTTTCGGGCTGGATATTTTAAATAAAAAGAAAGAAGATTTAGTACATGTAATAGGATAACCAGTGGACTAAAGAAGATACCAAGAATTAGAGAAAAAAAGCTCAGAATTAAATAGACAAGAAAAAGTAACAAAATGAGAACATATTCATACAATTTAGAAGTTTGATATAAAAGAAAGAAGTTTAGTTTATTATTCCCCTAGAAAAAAGGATCTTATCTACTACATTGTCTAACAAGTTAGATTCATGGATACATCTGGAAATGATTCTGTGCTGATTGTTGTGCAGATCAAGTTAAAGAAATATGTGTAATCATGACTGTATTCATTATGTGTAAATGAAATGTTCATGCACCATATTCAAAATTGATGATGCAACGACCAGCATAATGTATGTCAAAATGATTCTTAAATAAGTATGGGGAGTAGGGTAGGATGGAAGAGATAAAATTTATTAATTCCCTTCCAATTATTTTAATAAAATAAGCCTTTATATCACAAGTGAGATTTCAACTATGAGAAAATGAGTACAAAACAAGGTTTCACACTGAAGTGTGATATACTTTTAATCTCTTTGTTAAAATAAGAACTCTAGGAGAGTTATAGACATAACCTCTTCCTTATGCATGTGGGAGAAAATGAAAGTCAATGATGCTCCTCTGAATGACAGAAAAATCTTAAAAGTGATTTTTTTCTATTTAGAAAGATTGAAATATCGATTACAGCATTGCTATCAGAGCAACAAATTACCAATGAAAATAGACCTTCGAAATTGCATTTTCTTTTGGAGGCTATTTCCACAGGTCATAGACACTATTTTCATTTTTGCAACTTTTACAACACTTCTTTGTTCAATATATACATCCAAAGATAGATTTATAACACCAGAAAGTAGAACAAGTTGGTTACAGTTGTGAATATTCACATACATCCATCTTGGTTTGGAAAACTAATTTTATGATGCAGAAAGAGCACAAGAGGAAGGGGGCATTATCTTTATCTCTTCCTGAGCCTCTTTTTGATAATTTTGAAGTCAAGTTTCTAAATTTCATTGGATAGTATTTAAATTTTAAAATAGGGCTCAGGAACTCAATTTTACTGGCATAAGTGGAAAAAAAATGATAGAAATTCACTTAATAATCAAGTAAGAAGCATAGCATTAATCTTCCATGGCACAATAGAATTAGGTGAATGACAGCATCTGCACTTAAGAATTCCAGGGTTCACTACTTTAAACAGAAATATCAATCCCTGTAATTTTAATCCCCATTCTACAAAATTTGCTGATTTCTTCTTTGCTATGTGAATGTTTTTCTCCTACTACCTATCATTGAGATCTTTTAAGAATTCAGTGTAATAGGCATTCATACTAACAGCTATATTTTATATATGAGCCATCTTCTCTATTAGCAAATATTTACTTTAAAAAACAAATTAGGACTGAAAGACTGCCATTACTCTCCTTAGATTCATTAGTTGTTTCTAGTAAATCGTGTTGTCTCTCATGAAGAGAAATTAATAAGAATATTTGTGAGCCAGATTCATTTCAAGCATCTGACTAATACAATTTGATCACTTGAAACTCTATTGTATAACTAGTGAGTAAATGTTGGTCTCATAATAACTTCTGGGCAGGTCAGATTATTTTCACTGAATGAGAAGTCGTAGCTAAAAGAAAAATGATTGGAAAACTGATGGCAAATTTTAAAGTTGCTGAATTTAAGAAGCAAAACCGAAGAAGGATTTCAAGGGTGAGACTGAATCTACTAGCATATAATTCTCATAAACGCTTACTTTACCATGTAAAGATAGAATCATATCTAACTTGAATGGATACTCTTTCTAATGAAAGAAGAATTATTTACCAGTCTTATTTGTCCACTGTTTCTTTTCTCACAAAAGCACTCTACACTAGAGATGAATCAGGAAATAATAATTCAGGGTCATATTTTCTATATATCAACTTAAGTAAGAAATATTTCATCTCAGTTTCTTCATCATGTAATTTCAGTTACATTTTATTTTATCAAAGGTGTTAGAGTGAATGTTGATAAAATAGCTCCTTAATAACAAATATTATTTTGAAATGTTTACTGATGACCAAAAATATAGCTCTTGGACATCTTTAGAAGTGTGATACTTTGAGAATCATAAGAAAAACATGTTAGTGAAGCAAAGTCATAAGATAACATGATTCCTGGAATAGATGATTGAATACAACCAATTTTACTGGTATTTATTCAGCCCACGGTAATGGCTTATTGCCAGTATATCTGTCAATAGACTATTTTCTGTATAATATGTAGTTTTATTAAAGGTATAAAGCCATTTTAGATTCTTTGGGAGACCAGATTTCACAAAATTACAAGATATTATTTCTGTATATTTTTTGGAACCTCTTTTCATGAACCAAAAGTCTTACCTCATTTTTGTCCACAAGAAAGTATGTTATTGATGCCACAGTGTACACTTGATGTACCACTGACAGACACAATGTTAGTTCTAAGAATTCTTCTCATCAGAACTATAATTTTTTGTCCCAAGAAATCATAAAAATTGCATTTATTAATTATGAAATCCCAGTGAATTGATTAAGTAGAACCACAATATCATTATTGAGCAACGGTGAGTTCATTTCTTGATTTAACTTTCTGACATGGGATGTTTATAAAAACAGTTTGATATTACTTGTGATTCAAATGATATTAGTTGTCATCAAATTGACTTTACCATAGTACAACTTTGGCATATAACTGTTGTTTTGCCTTACAATTTCAGGTTTAATTCATTTAGAGACATTTTCAAGTCTATAGCAAAAGCTAATATCTAAAGCCGTAGAGGTTAAAGGTGGTTCTTCTTATAAAGAAATATTTCAGTCTCTACTACAAGTCCAAAATATTGCAGTGAAACTTTACCACTGCTAACCCCTCAAACTAATGTGTGGTAAGGAAATCAAGATACAGCTTACATTTTTGAAAAAAATAAAAATTTAGTCTATAAGAGCAAGTGATCTTCACTATTCACCATACTGCTCTAATGTGTGATAAGTTCAATTATTTTCCACAAAATATTTGCTAATGAAATACTACAATGAATAACCATAGTCTTTAAACATTTTAAATTTTCACAAACTGTAAATTTGTCCAACTAAGCCTTTTTTTTTTTTTTTTTTGCTCTATAAATATTTTCACTGCAATCTCAGTTGTAATGTATCTTAGCAGATTTCACTTCAGGTTGTACTGACTTCGTTTTTTTCTCAACTTCTTTGAAAATATTTTACTTGTAATTGTTCCATGTAGACTATTCATAGCAGCTAATTTTATAGTCACTTCAAACTCACCATTGACTCCTCAAAAACCCAATAATTGAGCAGTATCAGACACATATGTCAACCCATCAAGAGCCAGGGAAAACTAATCAAAATAATCTACCTTAATTTTTAATTGGCTATTTATATTGCTATCCAGATTCTCAACTTTTTGAGCAACTATTCTCAGCAAAAGGCTAATCGTCTCATATATGTTCCTGCTCTCTGAATACATTTCTTCCACTGCTGCAATCAAACATGATTTAATTAATTCACTATCAATAAATGACTTTCTTTGCTTAGCTAATAAATGAGCCACTCAGAAACTTACTTTAATTTCAGCCTCATTTTCACTCTTTAGTTTTATGAAGAAATTCTGCTAAGATGATATATTTTATTTTAAATTTTCTAATTTTTCTGTATGTTCCTTTTATGTGAATTAAGAATGATGTGATGAGTGAGTGCTCGCTTAGTCTTGTAATGTTGACATATTTTGTATATTTTTCATACTACATAGTGTCATGGCATAATAAACACAACACTGTGGCATCTAATTAGAACACAAAGTAATCCACAATGCTCCGTGCCTTAAAAGCAGGATATTCAGAGTCCTCTTTTCTCTTCTTTTCTTGTTTTTAGATGTTGAATATGCAATGGTAATTTTTAAATTAGGATAAAATGTCAGTATAGCAATACATGTAGCACTCAACATGCTGTGAAATTATAATTGCATCAGATTTGTAGCACCCTGAGCAGCAGTACAAAATGAGAAGAATGGCACATAAGGTTTCTCTAGCCACTACTCAACTCCATCTTTATAGCGCTAAGACAGCCACAGACAATAGGTAAACAAAAGGGCATGACTATATTCCAATAAAACTTTATTCTTAGACACTGAAATTTTATTTGCAGAATTTGTAGAATTTGATATAGGCCTTTTGATATCTTCAATATCTCTTAACTTTTTAAGTATATGTTATGTAATGATAATAATGTTTAATGTCATTGTCTGCTAAGTCTAATATTTGTGTCAGTTCTGGGTCAGTTTCAATTAGTTGATTTTTATGTTCATAATGGGTCTTATTTTGCTGCTTTTTTGCATACCTGGTAATTTTTGACTGGATGTCACACATTATGAATTTAACATTTTTGAGTACTGGATATTTCTGTATTTCTGTAAGTCTTGTTTTGTTCTGGAATGTAGTCAAGTCTCCTAGGAACAGTTTGATCCTTTTAGAGATCAATTTTAAGGTTTATTAGGCAGGACTGGAGACTACTACTGAAATAAGACCCTTATATATACTCTCCCCAATGCTCTGTGAATCGTGAGGTCTTCCAGTTTGGCTGGTGTGACCAGGCACTATTCCTAGCCATCACACATGCATTGCTCAGCTGAATACTGAAGAAGGATGCTCTGTAGATATTCAAATTTGTCTTTCTGTGTACCTTTCTCTGGCATTCTGTGTTGTAAATTCTGGCTTCCATGGAATCTCTGGATCTCAGCTTTGTCTAGGCAACTTAGGGCTTCTGTTGGGCTTGTTCTCAGTTCACCTTTCCTACTCTGCAGCTTGAATGTTCTTTCAAGGAGCTCTTTCATAGGGCTCACCTTGTTTGCTTCCCATCTCTGCCCTTGGGTGCCTTAGGTTCAGTAGCTTAAAACCATTGGTTTGTGTGTTTTTTTCTGTTTTTTGTTTGTTTTTTGTTTTAGATGAGAGGATAAATCCATTCCATTATTCCATGTTAGCCAGAAGCAAATATCCTACCATGTAGAATTTTGTTTCTATAATTGCATACTGAGTTTTCTTCCATTTATTTTCTTATGTCAGCCATTCCTCCTTGTATGCTGTAATTTTCTTATAAAAAGTATATTCCCCACATTTAGCATTGTGCCTTGGACATAAATAATTATCTAAAGAATTATTTAATCATGATTTTCTGCTCTTAATTTCCAAGGGGAAAAAAAAAACTATCTTTGTGCATGTTGCTAAAGAATCTAAGGAAGTTTCATTAAATTTATTCTGACTCTAGCCCTAAATTCCTTTCAGAAGTACACTATTCCTCTAGGTCTTTAAGATCTTTTCCCCTTTTCCTTTAGTTCTCGTAGTGTTTTTCAAGGCCAAGTGTCTATTATTTTGTGTACTTCTTCCTGCAACAGGAAAAATATATTTAGATTTTCTTACCCTACTACCACCACCAAAAGGCAGGGTTTGTGGCCTGTTCTTGGCTGCATTGACTGAATGTTTCAATAAGTTTCTGGTAACTTCAACTAAAATACCATATAGAAAGTAATATAACCTTATTTTCAAGCAGCAGATTAGTACACAAGTGGATAACCCAAGCTTGTTGAGTGAGCAAGAATACACAAGTGCAAGTCACTTTGTAGAAAATTCTCATGTCTCAAACAAAACACTCAAAAACAAGACGGTCTCGTCAAAAATTTGGCAAGTTTTTGCTGTTCACAGCCCATACCGGGGGGAGGTGAGGGTCACTGTCACTTTCTCTCTCACTAGCCCTTCATCGTCCTTATACTCCTAAGGGAGAGAGTAGCATCGTCCTTATATTCCTAAGGGAGAAAAATAGGAAGCAATCTAAATATTTCTGAAGACTATTTAGTAGTCCAGGAGAAAGTTTGTAGTATAACAGCAGGATAGAAAGCTACAAACACAATAATCCTAACTGGAATTTATGTTTCTATGTCTGGAAGGATGTAAATTTTAGCATTACATAAACCTTTTCCAATGGTCACGTTTTCATGATCAGAACAAAATGCATGTTTTAAAATGTGAATTGCTATCTTGGTTCATTATAGCTATGTTTCTAGGTAAATAGGAGTCTCATTTTTTTCATCCCACCACTAAAGGAATTTACTGTTTTGTTTATTACTTATCACATATCCCACTGAAAGTTGACTCATAAGACATGTAGTTCTTGTAAAACAGTCATAAAGATATTTCTACTTATTTAAATTTTTTTGGAATTTCTTGTTATATTATGTCATGATGTTTCCAGCTCCTTTTCTATCTTGATATTGTTTCTTTAGACTTTTGCTTAGTAAAAACAAGTTATAAAGTACAGAAAAGGAAATGTAAGATATCATATGCAAAATATACACTTTAATGAACATCCTCAATCATTCAATTCAGCTCTACTATGGCACAGTGGCCAAGAGTGCTGGCCTTCTATCAGTGTAGGGAGAAGAGGCAGGTCTGGGTTTTGGAGCCCATAGTTGGTGGGTGGATATCCATGTGTGGCAGCAGCCTGGTGTGGAAAAACCAAGCTGGAGCAGAGTGAGGGTGGTATCCATGCAGAGGAGAGGCAGAGGCCATGATAGTAGATTGGTTATATACAGAGAGATCGATCACATAAATCTATTAAAGAAAATGAGAGCCAGGTTTATTACTGTTGAAGAGGGGACGACAAATATTGGAGGAGAAGAAGGTGGAAATAAATTTGTGGTGTTGGATTGGAATTGAAGGTATTGGTGTGAACTCATGCATTTCAAGAAATATAAATAGATAAATAAATATAGAATTCAATGTGTGCATGCATTGCCTCTCTCCCTCTCTTCTTTTCTCTCTCCCTCCCACCCCATTCTTTCCACTGACACTCTACTAGTGATGAACACAGCTAGCACCATATGACTTCTAAATAACATTCTCCACTGAAAGGAACCAAGACTTCTTAGAGACATGACAGATTTCAGGGGTAGGCCTGGAAAATATGTTTGCATCAAAAGTAATGACATATTCAGAGGATGATAGGGACATGTCAAAGGACAACAATATCAGACATAAGGTAGAGTACAATGACTCCTTAGTACAGGACATTTTTAAAATATAGGTATTATTTAATCTCTAAGTATAAATGGAAGGTTAAAATCTAAGTATGAATCCTGAAAAAGCCTACCTTGTTTTGCAAGGAACTATAATAACAATTCATGTAAATTTTAAATTAATTGACTTTTTTTTCCAAAATATGTCTGATTATAGGCAACAGGTTCAAGGCTTGGTGTCTTAACACAAAATGTAACTAACATGGGACTGTCAGTTATCATTTCCTTCATCTATGGATGGGAGATGACACTCTTAATTCTGAGTATTGCACCAGTACTTGCTCTGACAGGAATGATTGAAACAGCATCAATGACTGGATTTGCCAACAAGGATAAGCAAGAACTTAAGCATGCTGGAAAGGTAAAATAAAAACTATTATCATAATAACATTCTAAGGGAAAACAATCAGAGCTCCCATCTTTACAATATGTTAACTATTTTTCTTAGGAATCTATAAGTGGTGTATATATATTGAAATGCATACAGACCATTTAGGATGAGGTGTAGAGTTGTTATAGCAATAGCGTGCATGATTTAGGGCTCTGGAGTCAAACTGGCTGAACTAGAATTCAGATTCTATCACTAACAAAAGTGTGATATGAGCAAGTTATGTCATTTCTGGACTTCAGTTTCTTCCTCTGTAAAGTGGGAATAATAATCCACTTATAGATTTTTGTATTACACAAAACTCTTAGCATTTTTACATACAAAACATTTAGAATAGTATCTGGAAGGCACTAATCACTCAGTGTCAGCCATTATTACTGTTACCACATCATGGGGGAATTTGCTAACATCATATTTCCCCATTTTCTGATTGTCAAATAATTTTCTTAGTCTACGGCCATGCCACCCTGAAAAAGCCCGATCTCGTCTGATCTCAGAAGCTAAACAGGGTCGGGTCTGGTTAGTACTTGGATGGGAGACCACCTAGGAAGAACGAGTACTGTAGATGTAAAAAGTAAAAAATAAGGGATTTTAAGCTGACAAGGTCCTTGCAATCTGTGAGGTCAACCAAGGGTTGCCTTGCCTAAAAAAAAAAAAAAAAAAAAAAATTCTTGGACAATTCTGGGTATTTTATTTTCCAAAATAAAGAGGAAATATAATAGTTACTGAATAAAAAGGAATATACTTTTTTAAAATCGATAGTGCCTAAAACATGGTTTTAGAGAAAAGAACTGTTTTTATACAGATCAAAATGAACAATTTATTTAATTACTTGGAAAATACTTTGACATATTTAAGCTTCTAGGATCAATCATTCTTATAAAAATAATCATTGTATTGAAGGTTTATGGAAACATTCATATTGTGGTATCATAACATCTAAGAATTGAAAGAGATGTCATTTGATTCATTCACTCACCCAAAGTAGGAATCCCTTGTACAACATCCCTGTCAACCTCTCAAGTGTTCATCTATCTTCTACCCACCCTTTACCTCCAACGGCAGGCAGTGCATTGCTTTCTCAGGTTCCCTACAGTTTCTTTCCTTCTTTCTTTCTTTCTTTCTTTCTTTCTTTCTTTCTTTCTTTCTTTCTTTCTTTCTTTCTTTCTTTCTTTCTTTCTTTTTCTTTCTTTCTTTCTTTCTTTCTTTCTTTCTTTCTTTCTTTCTTTCTTTCTTTCTTTCTTTCTTTCTTTCTGTCTGTCTGTGTTTCTTTCTTTCTTTCTTTCTTTCTGTCTTTCTTTCTGTCTTTCTTTCTGTCTTTCTTTCTGTCTTTCTCTCTCTCTCTCTCTCTCTTTCTTTTTGTTGTTGTTGTAGTAGTTGTCATAGCCTTCTCCTCTTCTTGGCTTTTATCTTGGTGTAAAGATCCAGTCTGTTCCTCATGACAGCCTTTAGGAGGCTGCATCATGTAAACACCTAGTCTTCTCTTGGCCATTCATCCCAGGTCTTTAAGCTCTTCTCACAATATAGTTTCAAAGATCTTTATTATACTGGCAAACACCCTCTGAATATGAAAATGGTTTAATACCACTTATGGTCCTTATCACAGTAACTGCATTACAGTTGACACATTATAAATAGCATGACTATTCATTAAGAGGGATGTCAAGCACATGACTCATTGAAATCTGGTTTGCATGACCCTTGGACCTTTCCACCTTTCTTACACTAGATAAGGATCCTTGGGTCATCTGCTCAGGAGGTACAGACTAAACTTAGCATATATTTGCTTCAGAGTTAGTGAAAGTTGTTTAGCCCTTCCTGTGTGCAAATTATCACAACTTCTAAATTAATGGGGCCTTAAATAATTATTTTACTCATCTTAATTTTTATGTCATGAGCTTTAGCTGTATAGTGCCCTTTGATTTTTCCTTTTTGTATTATTAGAGTAACCTCAGATTCTACAATCAGTAACTCCAATCAAACAGGCAATCTGTGTCATTTTCCAGTAGCTTTAAATCAGTCAATTTACCAAACACCAAAACTTAGAATATGGACCAATAAAACATATTGATCCTTCCTTGGTTGCATGTGTAAATTCTGGCATATCATCAGATGTTTATTTTTCACACTTAAAATGCCCATATTTTTTAAAAGACTATTTTCTAAGGTTCTGTATTGATAGTAGTCTTTTCTCCATTGTGAAAAATGATTACAGACTTTTTATGTTTATTTCTTTTTCTTCTCAAGGTTTTAACATTCTTATCTATTTTCTTTGCATAATATAGAATATTACAAATTGATATTTCTTTAAGTTCATTTTTAAATTAATGAGAATTTAGAACTATTCAACATCAAAATTGAGAACAGAATCCAGGTGTTCTGACTGCAGTCTAGAAATCTAGTTCTCTCCTGTAACCCAAGTTCTCCTTCAAATAACACTTGGTGTCCACTTGGGTCTTCCTCTGTCCTATAATCCACTCTGCCATTCTGGAAACAGAATATGAGAGCCAAAAGTTTCTCTTTCAAGTTGACATGTGTTCCCATGTGCAACAAGTCATTCTAGGCCAAAAGTCTCCTCCATTTTGAATCCCATGTGATTACTCCTTTTTTAAAAACTATATAAATATGGAGAAGCATTAATTATATTTGAATTAAATATATTTTTAAGTTCACAGACATCAAAATGAGAAACAGCTATAGCTTATCCAGAATTGTATATTCATACCCTATGTTACTTTACTGCAATGTCCCTGAGATTTTTGGTTGCTATTTGCATTTCTGTGCTAGAATAAAATTATTATTTATTTGATTTTCTCTGCTGCCTTCTTGAATTATCTCGTTATTCATAAGACTGTTTCTTTGCATAATTACATATGTACATGATGCTCACTAATGTTTGATTTCTCTGCCTATGGAATCAGTTTACATGAAAATCAGTGAAAAGTTGAAGGGTGCTATATTTAAGTCAGTGGACTAAATCTTTTCTAAAAATTTCAAAGAAAATTTTTTTGAGCCCCTATTATGCTGCAATGTTATTTTCCAATCTTATATTTGGGAAAGAAAAATGGAAGTTAAGAAAACTCGTTAGGAAAAGTAACTGATTTGATGTACTCAATATGTCCCCTGTGTAAATGACTGAAATTCACGACCAAAAGAAGTTTAACCAATACTAATTTTATTTCTGTATTTTATTGTCCAATTTTATAAGATAGCAACTGAAGCTGTGGAGAACATACGTACTATAGTGTCATTAACAAGAGAAAAAACTTTTGAGCAAAAGTATGAGGAGACGCTTCAGGCTCAGCACAGGTGATTGTGGATTCATACTGACGCCATTAACTATCCCTTGTTTCTGTAAAGGCAGTACTCCTAGATGACTCCGTGGTTTCCCTGCCAATTGATTTGCTCTGGAATCTTTCCTAATAATGGTATATCACAGTTTCTCATATGACTTCACCACGAGAAGACTAGAAGAGGAATCAAGAATATATGTTTAGGTCATCCCACATTGCTGTGTAAAATTACTTAGTGTGCTCATTTTTTTTATTTTCCTGAAACAATACTGAGGAAATAACATTTAAGAAAGACAGTAAGATTGCTAGGCCTTTTATATTGAATCTCTAAAACAGTTCACATTTTAAAACAAATATATACACAATAAATGTGATCATATCTTTTAATTTTAAACTAGCCCTCCTTATCACATTTACTTAAGGGTACTCTTTGTATTACTTTATCAGAGAGATAGCTTTGTGCTCTTTTACACTCATGCTTGTGGTTGATACTGACCTTTAATTTCCACTATTTATTCTCTTAGTGCAACGTTAGGTTAGAAAATATTTCTAAATACTTCTAAAGCAAGTCTCTTTATCTCTTTTATTAGTTGTCTTTTTACAGACATTGTCCATTCATTTGAAAGTACATAGAGATAATTTTGTTACACTCAACCATAGAATGTATAGCTATAGAGAAAATAATTATATTTTCTATTTTCTCTCTAATAATTCTCAGTAGTTAAATAAATCACTTTCTCTTTAATTTTTTTAAAAATGTATATCCCCTAAATAACATGTCTAGTCTTCTATAATCATTATTCTACATTTATTAAAATGTTCTTGCTATTCGTCATGCTACATTATTTAGTAAATTTTGTACATTTTAGAAAAACCTTGAAGAAAGCACAGATCATTGGAAGCTGTTATGCATTCAGCCATGCCTTTGTATATTTTGCCTATGCAGTGGGGTTTCGATTTGGAGTCTATTTAATTCAAGCTGGACGAATGACCCCAGAGGGCATGTTCATGTAAGTTGTACAAATACATAAATCTTGTAAATGGGTCAGGTAATTAAATTAACCAGAAAGATGACTAGTTTATAGACTTTATCATTTAAATCATATCCGTAGGAAAGGCATACTGGGAATTTTTTTAAATTTTTATTTGTTATTAAATATCTGTAAGTATAGTCTAGCTGGTAAAATACTGATACTAATATAATACTGATACTTTGAGTTAATCTCCTAAGTGAATTGCTCCCTGTTTCAGTTTATTAGAATGTGGGAATATAAGGGTAAAATATACTTTCCTGTCATCCATTCCTTTTGGAAGTTGTGAGGCTTCCTGGAACCCCCAAGGTGAAGATGGCTTTATCAAGTGTGACTGTAAATCAGTGAGATTGAGTTCTTTGCTAAGCAAATATTCCAAAAGAAACATATATAAAATTAGTGTTTCCTTTCAGAAAAGTCATATTTGGAGTTGATCATGGCATCCCAATGAGGCTGCCTCTTCCCAAAGCATATTTTAGAGCTTCTATTTTGGAATTCTTATGAATAGTTATGAATTTTGGGCCCCTGCCCTCCCTGGAACTCCCTCTCAATGTCTTTGCACTTGCTCTTCCGTCTGCCTGGTATAATCATTCCCCAACTCTGCCAAGCTGCCTCTTTTTCACAATCCAGTCCTCTGCTCCTAAGTCCATTCATCAGAGGGACTTTTGCTATGGCCAAAGTAGTCCCCTTGCCCTTCCTCATCATTTCTACTCTATTACTATGTTTTATTTTGTGTAGAGTACTTATCACTATATTAAATTATCCTTTTGTTTCTGTATTTATTGGGTACACAGACTGTAAGCTCAGGGAGGGTGGAGCTTAACCTGTTTTGGTTACTAATATTTCTCTAGAGTCAAAAACAAAAGCTGGGCATGTAGTAGGCACATGATAAACATCCACTGAATCAATCAAACAAAAATAAAGGAAGAAATTTGGACTGCATAATTAGGCAATCCAGTCATTCTTAGAAATGTGCTTCCAGAGTCAGTTTCTCCGCATTAGTCCAGTTTTTCACAAATTCTATTTTTCTTCCCTTCTATATCCACACATCTGACATCAGGTGCTTTAGGAGAAGGACTGGGTCTAAATCAAAGACAACCATTTAATATAAAAATAGGATGCTTACAATTGGGAGTCTATTTCTACATATTGAGATTTGTTTAGGTTAAAACTAAGCAAACAATTTTCTTAGTTAAAGAATGATACAATCTCAAAATCATGCTGATTACTATCATGTCTTCAAGTGACACCAGGCAGGATGTTTCTTGAAAAGGCCTTTTAAGACTGCCAACCATTCTGTTTCACATGATAGTCACTATAACAGCAAATCTTGATCAAGTCCTTACTCGGTATTAAGGATTTGTCATGCACTATCTGATTAATCCTCTCACCTACCCTGTGAAATGTTATGATTCCTCTTTTACAGATGGGAAAAATTAGGACTCAAAGAAGTTACTTAACTGGCCCAAAGTCACTTAATCAGCAAGTGGCAGAGCACAGATTCAAGTTCATGATTCAGTTTGTCAGAAGCTTTGCTTAGTAGACATTAGTATTGTCATTATAATTACTATTATTATTAATTCTGCCAAGACAAACTTTCATAGAATCTTTCTATAAAATTATTATTTTTAAAAAGTCTTGCTTAGTTTTTGAAACATTTGAGTATCCAGAGCTGTGCTGATTCTTAACATAAATGGAACAATTTGCTTAATGTTATTTTATGACCCTAAAGTATAAGAGAATCAAAAGGCTCTGACACAAAAATTCCTTCTCCAACTGGCCTACCATACTTCCTGAATTTCTTTTCATTAACTCATTTAAAAAGGTCATTTCTGAAGACATAGCATTTTAGCTGTCAGAACATATGTAGGATATTAACATAAAAGCAATGATTAATGAAGAGTATCACATTGGTGTTTCTCAGTGCCCTGAAGGAAGTAAGAAACAGGGAGCTATCTGAGCTAGAGCTACTGGTATCACTTTTTATTTGAGTTTTATTCAACCAGACTACAGACAAAGTAAGGATACTCATACTTTTATAGTATGGACTAAGGAGAGAGTCTCTGGGAAATATGGGTACAGGGCAAGCGAAATGCGAATAGATGAGATTTGTCTTCAACACCAAAGTCTTCTTAGAGACCCAGGGTGGACCCCAACTACCATGAATATGTCACAAGTGTCCCTTTAGACATACTAAATTATACCTGTCTTAGAAGACTCTGTGCCTTCCAGAATCTAGGGTGACAAACAGCTTTCTATCTAATCAACTGACTGAATGGAAGAGGTTTACAAAGAACCCCCCCCCCACCACCACCACCACTAAAATCCTCCTTAGGTAAAAAGAACTTTGTGTCATTCTCTAAATCAATGGTTTCCTAACTCATAAGATAAGGAGCTATTTAAAAATGCAAATACCCAGAGCTTACTCCACAAATTTAATTTGCAGATTTATACATATGGTATAGGACCAGGAATCTACATTTTACCAAACATCCCAGATTAGTCTGAGGCACAGGATCTAAGGATCACACTTTAAGAAATATGAGCACAGGAACTAGATCCCAGGCTGCTCTCCATAGTTGCCTAAAACCTTAGGGTTTTCTTTTTGCCACTACCAGAAACCTCCTAGAATTACATAAAAATTAGGAAGACATATTTTAGTTTATTGTTAAAAATAAAGCTGTCTTATTCACCTTGTCAAATGTGATGTATTTTCATGATTTATAGCTATAGGGATGGGTAAGCAGTCTCTCTTTCAGAAATGACAGTGCTTTAGAAAGGGAGATGCAAACAGAGACTCATAGACATGAACAATAGACTAGTGGTTACCAGAGGATGGGGAGAAAGGGGGAAGGTAGATGGGATAAAAGGGGTCAAAGATATGGTGACAGAAAGAAACCTAACTACAATGCAATATAAATATGCCTTACTGTTGAATTGTACCCCTGAAACTTACTGGGTTTTGTTAACCAATGTCTCCATAATAATAAAAATAATAATAATAATAATAATAATAATAATAATAATATGCACAAAGGGAGTTTTTTAACAGTAGAATCCCTTGATGTGCTCATAATATTAGTTTATCAGCATAGCTAATATCAGCCTTAGCTTTTTCCTCTAAAAAAAAGAAAGCAACATACGCTTATGGTAAAAGCTGTCTCCATCCATCTCTATTATTGTAGAAGTGTCTCTGAAATGAGCTTTTTATAAAAGGCGATAACATTTCACTCTGCTGCCTTTCAGGCAATGATTTAGAAAATCTCTTGTTTGGGTTCTCGTACACGTATGTATAGTAAAACTCTCCCCCTCTGCCTCTGTTAGCTCTGGCAACACTTTTGATTCACTTCACTATAAAAGTGCAGACTTTGAGAAATACAGAATAATTTTCTCCTGTCTGATTTTTAATAACTTTAGGTTAGTTTCTAGCTGACTTGTCTTCTGCAGTATAGTCCAGAAACCATTAGTGACCAGCAGAGGTTTCTGTAACTCTCCACACCCTGACTTCAGAACTTTCCTCTTTTTCTCTGTTTCTTCCTCCTTTGCTACACATATTAGCAGGAAGCTAAGTAGATGACATGGCTACGAAAGCATCAAGGCATGACAGCCTTCGGTACAATGATAATAAAAGTCACAGCTTTGAAAATCAACTGAGCGGCAGAGTCAGGCAGCTCATGTCAGGCAGCTTAGTCCTCCAAAATCCAAGCGTAGTTCTTGATGGAACTTGTATAAGACTTTGAATGTTCAGTGTGATTACTGGTCAAATAGCAATATAGGCAGGTTTTCAATGAATATTGATAGTCGGTTGATAGCTTGAAATAATAAGGGACAGAAAGAAGCAAAGTAGACCTCTACCACTATCTTAATCTGGTAGGATCTTTTTTGTGTTGTTCCTAGCGAAAGGATCTTTTTAAAATCCCAATTTTATTTCAGCATCAATGATAAGCAAAGGGATTTCCCCATTGCTGGGATGTGCTTGAAAGCATCAGTATAGTGAAGATGCAGTGACAATGGCCCCATGAACCTATGGAAAAGCCCTAAAACTAGAGAAGAGGCCTAGCATCTGCAAATCCTTCCCAGACCTGTTCCTACTCAATATTCTCCTCCCTCAGCCCATCAACCCAAAGATTTTTGCTATAAATTCAGCATAGTAGTATAAATCCAAAAAAGGATAAAGTATAGATAAGAGTTCTTCTCCCATGCACAATTTAAGCTTACAAAGGTTATAGAAGTTAAATTTTAGGTTTTTTAATTCCTATTTTACATACTTATGCTTCAAGAGTTGTGCAATACGAAAATCACTGTGGAATGTTACTTGTAATCTTATTTATAGGCATGAAGGGGGTATATAAACAATTATTATAGATAATAATTATAATTATCTTAATAAGTATTAAGATATATTAATACTTAAACAAATGTGTTATTTGTGACTTTAAAACATTTGTCATTATAGTAAATCATTCCTTTTATATATCCCAAATAGGTGAAATTCCCAAGACAAACAATGGCATAGGAAGTTCAGTTCAAATGCCTTCGGGAGTCTGGACCAGATTTGAAGGATCTGGCGTAACTCTATCATGGAGCTACAGCACTTGTTGTTGTGCAATAAATGCTTTTTGAGTGGCAGTGAATTACAGTGAAGTTCATTCTAGCTAATTAAGCCAGACCGTTAGAACAGATTCTGTAGCCAACGAGCAGACTAGCCTTGGCCAATCTTTATACAGAAGCCACCTGGGGGAAAAAATATAAAGGAAATTAATGTCCCTGGCTCAATCCCCAGATAGTCCCATCATCACAAAGTTTGGTTCCTCAATATAATCCTCATCAACGTCAACCCCCTCCCACCTACCATTCCCTTAACACATACGCAGTAAAGACAGCACTGGGGCTTTTAGCTGGTACTCTCCCTCCTCTGTTGAAACTTTTCTTCTTGCTCTACTGTGCATCCATTGGGTCATGTACCTCTCAAAAACACACAAGTTCTAAATGGAAGGCCCTTCTCCCTTGCTCGGTAAATTTCCATTTTAAGAGCAACCTAACAAAGATAGCAGCCTCGGCTAATTTATGCGTAATGCTTAATCGACTTTTAATGGTGCAAATTTTAGGACAGGTCGATGTTTTGGCTCATCTCAAATTCGAGGACGGACGTATTTTCTCAATTGTTCTGAAAAGTCTCTGTCTGTGTAGGACTAGAATCCAGGTCCCCCAACTCACAATCCAGCTCTTCCCATCACCTCACTTGCTGACTCTTGGATTAGACTGAGGCTTAAGTCTAATTCAGTTCGATTTTTTTCTTACATTTAAAAAAAAAAAAAACCCTTTGATGTATTACCTAAACTCAATAACCACTTCTGATATTTGTAGCTATGTATTAAGTAAGTATTTTGAATGGCATTTTGAGCTTTAAACCATTTCTGTAAATCTTACTACTAAAAATGCTTTGACATCACAGAACTAGTGGCTACAAAAATTTTAGCATCCAGCATCCCGGGAAACCAGTTGTTTTTATATTTTATACTGTGTTTGATCTTTGTAAAGACAAGATTCGGGATCTGAGGTCTGGGTCACTGAAGACATTGCAACATCATTCACCCCTTGGTAGCTACCATCCCCGGAGACATTCATAAGGGGCCCACATGTTTACCTTGCTGTGATCCAGCAGAGCAGACAATCCTTTTGCTGACTAATGTTTAAACATTGCCAGTGAAACTTGTCCAGTCTTAGCTGAATTATACCTTTAGCTCTGCTGAGATGCATTATTTTTCATTTAGTAAGATGTTTTCATTTCTAAAGTGAAAAAGAAAACAAGAATAATATGTAAACATGGCCATGTGATATGCCACATTCCTGTGAATATTCTGTATGCTTCCAAATATCATTTGCATACATACCATTTAATAATTAACATGGTTTGAAACTGAGAGTGTAATCTATAGCAAATCTAAAAGATCAAAGTTCTTCTTCCAGTCTTGCTAAGGTGTATTTTAGTCAGATTTTATTTTGAGGACATTAGTAAAGTATAGTCTCCATGCTTTGCTCTCTTTAAATCATGTTGCACTTCAATAAGATAACCAATCATCTGGCATCAATTATCTATCCCAACTGTATTACAGTATATGAAAAAAAATTCATATCTACTGTATAAATTCAGATCTCACCACTGGAGACTCATTCTTCCTATTGTCAATTGAATTATTTCTCAAATCTCCAAGCAACTTAGCTTTATATTAAGGTGGCTGAGAAGTTTTATATTCACTAGTTAGGGGCTTTGATCTGTGTCTTTAATTGGGGAAGAAATTTTAAAGATTACCCAAGCTTCAAAGGTTATTTTGGTGTACAGAGCAAGAGATAATCACTGTGTGGTAGAAAATTTCAAAAGAGATATCATTGTTGGGCCTTCAGTATTAACGGTGTCTTCTAGATCAAAAGATAGTATTTCTGTGCCTGCCTTTTTTTTTCTTCTTTTAGAGCTCCGATGTTTGAAATGGGCCTAACTAAGATGTAAATGTTTCATCTTTTGATAGAGTTTTTACTGCAATTGCATATGGAGCTATGGCCATTGGAGAAACACTTGCTTTGGCACCTGAATATTCAAGAGCCAAATCTGGGGCTGCACATCTGTTTGCTTTGTTGGAAAAGAAACCAACTATAGATAGCTGTAGTCAAGAAGGGAAAAAACCAGTAAGCACAACTATATTTTTAAATATCTACTTATTGCTAATTGTCCATATGCATGCTCTCTAGAGACTTAAAGGAAGGCATTATTTGATAACTTTGCAAAAAAAAAAAGTGCTATAAGGAATTAAAAGCTTGTATAAAATAATTGTCATGGCTACTAAGGGAGAAAGGGGGTCTTATCTGAATTAAATTTCACCTCTACCACTAAAATACACATATGTTATATTAAACAATATATACTTCTAGTTTATTTGCCTAGTGCCATGAGAATATTCTTGAACAAAGGATTTATATATTTAATTTTATTTAGACAGCGAACGTTTTAGTTTTGCATGAAGATGTGCATTAAGGTTTATTTGTTTGTTTCTGTGATAATATATACAAAGTAAATAATGCCCTGTAGCTTCAGACACCATTTTTCATGGGAAATATATCTGCAAACAGAAGAGAAAAAGCGAGAACTATATTTATTAAATTTACACACAAATACACACATATGCATGCACATATTTAGCCACGAACTCTAAAAGACTGTTAAACAATAGGGATACTGTATAATTTCAAAACAAGCCTCTCTATGGTAGTCTTATACATTAAAAATATATTCAATTTTAAGACTTCTAGATATTTTAAATTTAAAATTAAGAATAGCTATTAGGTATATACTTAAAAGAAAATTTTCATTTAAAATTATTTTCCTCAAGAATTTTAACAACTTTATATCTATGACAGCTTAAAATAGTACATTATCACTAGAGCTACCTAATTATTAAAAGGAATGCTGGTTGTTAGTGACAGTAATTAAAAAATCTGAAAATTCTCAAAATAGAATGTTCAGAGATACATTATAGTCAAAATAAGATTTCATACTTGTCTTTTGGAAAGTAAAAAGATATAGGAAACTTTTTTTTTATTCCTAGGATTTAGATGTATAATAACAATACCACTCTTATTTCTTTGTAAACATTACAATACAGGGATCGAGTGTCTCATTGATAAATGTCTCCACAGAACTATATACATGGCATAGATTATAGAAATGCTTCTTATAAAGACTATAAAACTGTAAAACATGGTCCAACTTATAAAAATAACATACATACAGTTTATTAAGGACACTAGCTATTCTGAATTAAGCAATAAAAGTCTGTAAAGCACAAACTAAATTTTTTAAAAAGGTATTTTTATTTAAAGCAGCTAGTCAAACAGCTAATCTGAAGATTGGACTGTGTCTGAGCAGTGAAGCTGAAGGAAACCAGTGTTTTTAAGCAACTTTGTGAAGTCCAGTAGTGAAGACAGCAAAAAGTACAGATATAAAAACCTAAACAAAAGAGACAGAAACCTATGTGCCGTCAGCAGCTCTATAGACAGGAATACGGTGTTTAAAATTAAAATGGTTGTACACAATTTTCAGTTAAGTGCTCAGCCAATGTTCTATCATGTGTTACAATCTTTCTACACGCTGCCAACTTTCTTTCACAGGACACATGTGAAGGCAATATAGAGTTTCGAGAAGTGTCTTTCTTCTATCCATGTCGCCCAGATGTTCTCATCCTTCGTGGCTTATCCCTGAGTATTGAGAAAGGGAAGACAGTAGCATTTGTTGGGAGCAGCGGCTGTGGGAAAAGCACTTCTGTCCAACTTCTGCAGAGATTTTATGACCCCATGAAAGGACAAGTAGTAAGACCGAATTTAAATACAATTTATCTGGGGGTTAGTGGTGCTATTCTTAAACATTCTCTTGGGCTTAAGTATCCTTACCGGTTTGGGTGGGGCAAACAGTACAGTAGTTAAAAGGGAAAACAAAAAAAAAAGAGAAAGAAAAAAATTGTACCTTAACTAAGAGGACAAACAAACTAATAACAGAAATAATATATAGGCACACAGTACAATATATATGACTTACTGTTGAATTGTACACGTGAAACTTGGATTTTGTTAATGTCACCACAATAAAAAATAATTAATTAAAAAATAAAGTATAAAATAAAATAAAAAGAAATAATGGAGGCTAAATACAAAGACCCAAAGATTCTTCAACCATATGTCAGTAGAAATTTTGATCTTAAAAGCCATGGAATTCTTTTAAAATATAGGCCACATCCAGGCTCTTTCTTTATTCTGTTCTGTTGAAGACAGAGATAGCTTCCTCTGCCTCCCCGGTTCAGGCTTTCTGCTGTTCCCACTGGCCATCTTTACCTCCCCCTCCCCAGTTCTCAAAACCTTATGCATGATTAGGGCTTACCTGAATCAGCTCTGTTAAGTCCTGCATTCTGATCTCCAAAAAATGCAACCTCTCCCTCCTTTGAACTCCAAGGACTGTTTTTCTCACCTGGTACTTTTCTTACTCTACCTTATATTCAGGTTGTCAGTTATCCTCTCTACCCTGGCCACCACCACATCACCCACATACGCAAATACAACTTCCTGTTCCGCCTCTTCCTCCCCCCGAAGAAAACTATAAGCCTCTGAAAGTCAAAGGCTGTCATATTAGTCCTTCTTTTCCTGCAATTTACAGTCTTTTCTCCATCACAGATTTGCAGTGACCATTTGCAAAACGGAAGGGTCCAAAATGGCTGGCTTCCTTGTTACAAATAACAGAATCAACAATGAGTGCCAACATTAGGTAACACTCATCTGTTAGCACATAGCATATGACACCCCCTTTTTAAACCCTCCAGTGGCTTCTTACGGCAGTTAGAATAAACCATAGTTTATACCATTAGTCAGGGTCCTTCATGATCTGGCACCACCTCTCTCTCCAGACTCCTCTCCCGGCACCACCCCCTCATGACTGTGCACTGCGTCAGTCTCACTGGCTTCTTTATGTTCTTTAAACACCCTTTTAGGCCTTTGTTCTCGCTATTGCCCTGGTTGGAATGCTCTCACTCTAACTTCTTTGGTGGCTCCTTCTCATCATCTGTATCGCAATCTAAATACTACTTCCTTAGGTAGGGCTTTTTACTTAACTCTCTAGAAATTATGTTTCCACCCACCCCCTTCCTTCATCCTCACATCCTCAGTCACTCTCTACCCCATTATCCTGTCTTCATGACACTTTCTTTATCTGAGTTTATTGAGTTCTTTGTTAGCATGTGTGTTGCCTGCCTCTCTCCATGAATGTTGTCTTGTTTGCCACTATTTCTATGGTGCCTAAAGACCCCCCTCATGTAGTAGGTTTAATGTTGCTTTATGTCCATGTAAATAAATATGGCTTTGCATATTTCTGCGTATAGACTACTATATCAGTCTATACTTACCCTCTTTCTGGGCTGTAATAAAGTGGGGTCCTGCTACAGTAGAGGTTGGTCATTTTCCATCTAACTTCAGTACAGAGTAGCAGGCTTTACTCCAAACGCCAGGCAGGTCTCTAGAGTATATGGCCATTCTTAGAAACATCAGGTAAGTTTAAGAGTTGGCATTTTTGTCAGTTACATGCCATCCACTTCTATACAACATATGATTTATGAGCCTTTCTTAGGTAACATTATACTACTAAATAGCTCGAATGCCTAACCTTCTCGTTATGATTTGTATATGTTTGAGTACCGTGCACTGTAACTTGAAACAGTGATCTTCACATACCATTCTCCATTCTGCTTTTGGCAGCTATTTGATGGTGTGGATGTAAAGGAATTGAACGTACAATGGCTCCGTTCCCAAATAGCAATCGTTTCTCAAGAGCCTGTGCTCTTCAACTGTAGCATTGCTGAGAACATCGCCTATGGTGATAACAGCCGTGTTGTGCTCTTAGATGAGATAAAAGAAGTCGCAAATGCAGCAAATATCCATTCTTTTATTGAGAGTCTCCCTGAGGTAAGAAAATATCTGAAATCTTGAACTACGAAGCTGCCAAGTAAGCCTAAGTAGTTTACTGGGCCTAAGTGTTTGTTTTTCGTGCTCCTTGGATTATACAATTTATTTATTGCCAGCACGTAATGTATAGTCAGATGTAAAAAGCAAAGTTTGAGATTTTTGTGTGACCATTTTTCCCAAAACCAAACTATATTAATATAAACTGAATTAATTTTCATATTTTGATTCTTCACCTTCTACCCATTTACACTCTATTCCTGTCTACACCACCATCATCCTCCTCTGGACCACTCCAGTAGCCTCTCGATCTGTCTTCGTGCTTCTAGTCTTGCCCCTTTATAATTCTTTTTCCTCACAGCAACTAGAGGAATTCTTTAAAAACATAATTTAGAACATATCCTTCCTGGCTAAAAACTTCCTCATGGCATCCCATTGCACTTAGAATAAAGTGCAGGGGGCTGGCAAGGCCTTCTGCGATCTGGCCCTGCTTGTCTATCCACATCTTTTTCACCTTGTGCTTACTCTGCTGCCGCCATGCTGGCCGCTTGTCTTTCTCATGAGCATGCCAAGTTCTTCCCCACCTCAGGACATTAACACTTAATGTTTCTTCAGCGGGGCCCTCCTTTCTTCTGGCTCTTTGCAGAACTTCCAAGCTCTTTCAAATGTCACCTTTGCAGAGGCTTTTCTGGCCACCTATTTAAAAGAGTCCCCACCACTCCTACCACCTATCACATAGTCGTCAGGGCGCTTATCACAGTCTAAAATTACTCTGAGTGCTTATTGACCTGTTTAACGTCTCCTAGTCTCCTCGCCCCACTAGACTGTTAGGTCTTTGCCTGCCATTTCTGTCACCTCTCTGTATTGGCTGTGACAGCTGACACAAAATCTCAGAAAACGTAAACATCTTGGCTAGCCATAGAGAAGAATTTAGTATAGCAGGCATTGATACAAAGCCAGAAGTAGCACACAGGAGTGGGTAATTGTAATTTAAAGTGTTTGTAATTTCTGAAGGTTTAACCTACACACACAAATAAAATAAAAGTATAAATACCTACTTTTAATGAAAAACAGATTTTTATAATTTCTAGCTCACTTTAAAAAGAAATACCAAAGTTTAATAACTGTTACATTGAACAACAAATCTAGTGCCCTGTTCTCTGGGGAAAGGATAATGGTTAGCACACTCTCTTTTATACTACTGTACCTTCCCTCAGATGGTGCCTAAATGGTGCCTATAATTAGAAACAGACCATCAATACAATTTTCCTTACTCTTGAAGATTCTGCAGTAGTAACTATAATAGAAAGATTAACATATTTTTTATAAATATTGTGACCCTGTGAGTGTCTTTCAGTGGTGATTCCCTTTTTTAACCAAAGTACTCACTGCATTGTTGATTTATGGTCAGATTATTATCCACATAACTCTGATAGTTTTTTCTTTATGTATGGTAAAATGCCATCCACTTTCTATTTGTATCATTTTTCTTTTATTCTTAAATTGTTTGTCTTTCATTCTTTTGATTATACTATTTCTTAAATTTACCCCAAACTACATACTGCAGAGATTTAGTGTGCTAATTATTTACAATAAACTTTGAGAACCAAGATGACGTTATTTCCTGAAAGAAAGAATAGCTTCCAGTTCAAGATGGTGAGTAGGAAGATCCTGAATTCACCTCCTCCCATGGACACATTGAGTCTACAGCTACATATGGAACAATTTCCTCGTTAACAAACCTAAAGCTGGATGACCTACACGTTGGGCAAATGAGAAGAAAACCACATCATAGCAGATAGGAGAGGGTGGGACACAGACACAGTCTTACCTAAACCCTACCCCCAGTGCAGTGACTCACAACCTGGAGAAAATTCAAAACCCAGAGCTTCTCTTCAAGGAGTAAAGGTTCAAACCCCACATCAGGCACCTCAACTTTTCGTACCTGCACCTGAGAGATGAGTCCCCCAAAATAAAGCTAACTTTGAAAAACACCATGTCTGGAGACCCATAAGATTGTACCTCATGGGTTTATGTCTGGACCCATGACTCATGTCTGGAGACCCATAAGATTGTAGCTAGCTGTGAGAAAGCTCTGAAAGGGCTGTGTGCTCAGACTTACCTGCCACAGGGCCAGCTCAGAGGCATGCAGCCCCCATTCCAATCTCCAAAAGGTGTCAAACTCCATGCCCTCCCCTCTCACACACACACAAATTTTGCATGTTTGGTGCAAATTTGTTTGGTGGCCAAAATACTGTGAGGCTAAATGCAGTCTTTATTAACCCTATTTGGAATGAATAATCAAATATTTCTGCACAGATATTCATGTATTTGATTACCAATTGCTTCCCTTCTGGGGGTTTTAAATAATATATACACATCATATGTTAAATATATGTAATATATAGCACATACAAATTACAGTATATTTTCTTATAAAGTAAAAAAAAAAAAAAGAAAGAAAGAAAGGAAAGAAAGAAATTCTTAAACAGATATATCCCTGAGGGTTTCAAATAAGAGACTGTGGACCTGTCTGGCAATTCAAACCAGGAGGGTGAATACCAAGGAGTCAATTTGGAGTGTGCTAGGTAATACATCTGTGGTATATGTCATAGAGATGATCTGCAGGCATTTGGAAATATCGGCCTGGGATATGAGAGAGGAGTTGAAGCTACACCATCTGGGTCTTGAGGCTCCTCTGAGAAACAGACCAGATGTAGATGTTACCTAGTCCCCATAATATCACACAGTGGCAGCTCTCAGACAAGCCACATCATGGCTTCTCAAATAGAACTTCAACCACTGGAACCATCCTGCAACTCCTCCCCAGGGCCCATGGGATTTTCCAGAATGCAGTTGGTTTAGTTAGACTCTTTCTGATGTTCCCTCCAGGACCCAATTGGCTTTTTGGCCCAGGTTCATATCGAGAAGCCATGCCCCTTGAGAGGCTCATAAAACAGGTGATTTCAGCATACTTACCATCCCAGTGTTTGCAGAAAATTGATTTAGATTTTCAGTTTATTTATGTATTTTTAATTAAATTTATTGGGGTAACATGGGTTAATAAAATTATATAGCTTTCAACTGTACAATTCCATAACATTTCATCTGTATGTTGCATTGTGCCTTTACCACCCAAAATCAAATCTCCTTCCATCATTATATATTTGACCCTTTTTACCTTTATCTATCCCGCCTTCCCTCTGATAACCACTAAACTGTTGTCCGTGTCCATTGAGTCTCTGTCTTTTTTGTGTGTCGCTTTCAGTTTTCTATCCCACATATAAGTGAAATCACATGGTTCTCAACTTTTTCTGCTTTACTCATTTTGCTTAGCATGATTATCTCAAGATCCATCCACGTTGTCACAAATGGCAGTATTTTATCCCTTATGGCTGAGTAATATTCTATTGTATATATGCACTACATCTTCTTTAGCCAGTCATCTGTTGAAGGACACATTAGTTATTTCCATGTCTTGGCCACTGTGAATAATGCTGCAATGAACTTTGGGGTGCATATGTCTTTACAAATAAATGTTTTCAAACTTGGGGGTTAGATACTCAAAAAAGGGATTGCTAGGTCATGTAGTAATTCTATTCTTAATTTTTTGAGGAACCTCCATACTGTTTTCCATAGTGGCTATACCAATTTACTTTTCCACCAGCAGTATAGGAGGGTTCCTTTTGTCTCCACAACCTCTCCAACACTTATTATTTGTCTTGTTGATAATAGCCATTCTTATAGGTGAGGTGGTATCTCATTGTGGTTTTGATTTGCATTACCCTAAATTTTCGGTTTAAACAGGAAATTCATTAAAAAAGAAAAACCTTCAGTTAAAGTATCTGAAAATGTTTTTAAATTGCTATTGAGACAATGTATACACCCACATTTATAATCTATTCTGCTTAATGAGGCAAAAACATCTGAATTTGATTTTCATCTAATTCATTCTTGAGACTTACATTCCTGTAATTCAGAGAAGGCCAAGAAATGCAAAGTGTTTATAAGCTAGTACTGTATTTTCTTCAGCTACATAGAAGAATCCATGTACAATTTAAGCTAGACTGAGAAAGAGCTACAAGTAGCCCATTATCATACCTACCCAGTCCTCTCTGTTTTTGGTTTAAGATTGGATTCTCTCATTTTGATGGGAACTTTGCAGTATGTGGAAATGAATGACATAGTTTTATCTGCTTATCCTACCCTGTGATTCTAAATTTAATAAAATGCATTTTAGGAGGAAGGGGCCCAGCCTCCCAGTAGTCCCAGAGGAGATAACTGAAGTCTGTTTTCTTTTTAGAGCATTCACTTTAGAAAAGACACTTTTACTGGGCTTTAGTAATTATTCAGATACCCACTGTTTTATACAAAGCAAGCAACTGTGCATTTTAAATTGAAAAATGAACTTTGAATGAAGTAGACGCATTTGTCATAAGGGTATGTCACAAGCTCTCTCAATACTCTGCCTAAATGGCTCCTCCTGAAGACAGTCGGATATGGAGGAAAAGGCAATTCATTCAGTCTTCTCTAGGGTACTAAGACAAATGAACAGCATATAGTCACATGCTGCATCTTCTCTGTGATGCTGCTACAAGATCCACCTTTAGAAGGCTGTACACTTGGACTTGCTTTCCAGTGGAACTGATCCATCCACACATTCTTGTCTGGGTACCAATGGCATGTATTTGTTAGACAACTGGCAAGGGCGACTCAAAAGCAGTGTGAAACTTTGGAGGGAAGCAGAATCAATGGGACAATCTAGAAAGAAAGCAGAAGCCTCTTTGCACTAACTGAAATGACTAATTGTGATGTAGCGGACTGTGAAGGCTACAGGATATGAGACATTTCCTTTATCCTTCTGTGGAGGGAGAAACTGGAGAAGGAGTGGTTAGTAAGTAGGAGAGCTGTGGGAACATTGTGAAGTACTAAATGTCACTCTTATTGCCTGAAAAGCTGAACAGACTATCTCAGGATGCCAGCCTAACTTATTGCCAGGAAGACATTTGCACCACTGAGAACAGCAACCTGGCATCTGGAGAGATGTGCCCGTAGAGATTTAGCAAGAGCTAGAGTGAAGGAACCCAATGTTTAGATATTTTAAATCATTTTGACCTGAAAATGGAAGATAATGTAATTTAATGGAAAAAGATTTGTGTTTACTTGGAACTTTTTTTTTTTTTTTACCAATAATTTTTTTCTTATGCTTTAATTCAAACAATTCCTTTGTAGGAGCAAAATGGCAAAGGTCTGTGTGTGTGATCAGATTAGATATGTAAATGAGATGTTAGTGTTTACTGCTGGTTTAGCATTTATTTCAACAAAGCACAAGAATAGATTTCGGCATTTGTTGGGACACAAATTTTCCGGAGTAGCAAAATTTGAAATATTTAGATGGTTCTCGCCCACAGTTGCCATGCTAATTTAAATAACCAAGCCTTGCTTTCTTAATTGCATGTTCCTGTAATAGAAATACAACACACAAGTTGGACTGAAAGGAACACAGCTTTCTGGCGGCCAAAAACAAAGACTAGCTATTGCAAGGGCTCTTCTCCGAAAACCAAAAATTTTATTGCTGGATGAGGCCACTTCAGCTCTTGATAATGAGAGCGAAAAGGTAATATCTTCTTCTTTTATCTCAGAATATAATTTGAAATATGAGAGTGGAGCACCATGGAAGAAATAAAGGTCAGTTTAGAGAAAGAAAGATCTGGAGAGAATTGTAGTCCTCAAGTCGCCAGTCGTAATTAAGGTTTTGGCTTTTAAAAAAGGGTAGAGACTAGTAGGGAGGTAGGAGAGAGTTGGGACACAGGGCATCTCATGTTCTAGAAGGTTTTCTCTCTTGAATTTGTCTCATTATCAAAAAAAGGCCCAATACCTGAAAAGTTTCTCCACTCAAGGAAAAAGCCTGAGAAAAATAACTTTCCTATTTTATTATTATTCCAGTGATGCCAAACAAATTAATAAGGCAATGTACATGTGTAACAGAGTGGTCTGCACTGCAGTGGCAGAGCCTGCTAGTTACTCCACTTTCTACAGACTGTTAGCTTAATTTCAGAGGGAAACAAAGAAGCAAACACACTTGTGACAACAGACCTACACTGCAAACTCCTTCAGATGTTTTAACTTTGCTAGGTCCTTGTCCCCTAGTAGTTTCTTACCCCTAGTAGGCACTTATTTGTTAAATGAACATTGGTTAAATAAATGATAATTATTAATATTTATCAAGTGTTTATCATATGCTATTATCTCAGTCCTCACAACAACTTGATGAATTAGGTTATTTTTTATGCTCATTTTATAGATTAGCATACTAAGGCTTAGAAAACTTAAGCAACTTCCCTGAATTCTAATAGCTGGTGTCTGACATAAGAGTTCATGTGGTTAACTCTCACTTGATTGCTGTTTTAGATGATTATCATTTTCAATTTCTAAGAAAAAAGTATATTATGAAAGAAAAAACTTTTGGGGGGAGGATTCAGACATCTGGGCTGTAATCCTGGGTTCGTCAGTCTGTAGCGGTATGACCTTCGTCAAGTGACCTAGACTTTTCAAATCTCAGTTTACTCATTAGAAAAATGAAAATAACCCAACTTTTGGGGGTTATTGCAAAGATTTCAATGAGATATCCATTACTGGAACATTTTATATACTCAGCAAATATTGGTTTTCACCCTGCACTCTCGTTTCTTCTATACATCTGTTTAACCTCACTGTAGCTGAGATGCTGTTTCAGTCATCTAACCTGAGCTAATGATCACAGGTCCTTCTCTCTTCCAGGTGGTTCAGCATGCCCTTAATACGGCCAGAAAGGGGAGGACGTGCCTAGTGGTTGCTCACAGACTCTCCACTATACAGAATGCAGATTTGATAGTGGTTCTGCACAATGGAAAAATAAAGGAATGGGGAACTCATCAAGAGCTCCTGAGAAATCGAAACGTATATTTTAAATTAGTAAATGCACAGTCAGTGCAGTGATGCTGTTAGCATACATTTTGATCTTTGTGTAATGCAAGGAAAGAGTACTTAGTAATTATTTGGCATGCTTTGTTCTCTTTTATTGCATGATCGATATCTAGGCTCATGTTATTCAAGTACAGACATGTTCTGTTTACACACCACGTTCCCTTCAGATTTTTAAAAGAAAACAGAAGTTTTCTAGAACTCGTGAGATAATGCATCTATTCCTTACTTTATAAAAATATTCTAGCACATTTGCTTGTAAAGCAATTTTCTACAAAATGAATCTATTTCCCCATCAACTTGTGCTGTAAAATTGGAAATATGTTCCCAGAGGGAAAAGTTAGTTAACTAAGTTGAAAGATTTTAGCAAAGAGAAACTAAGATGTACTTGGGCCTTACAGGAAGAGTGATTTTAATTTGGAACTTCCAGCATTTTGTAGCACATATTAGCATCCTTTGAGCTAGTCCTTTGCTCCAGGCCTCAGGAATTTCTCTCATAATATCTTTCTCAGTTTCCCTCTCAATGGACATACACTGTTTCCCAAAATTATATTATGTCCTTTTGTTAGGGAGATAGGATTACAATGTAAAATTTTTGACAAATTAGGTAGTTATCTTCCACTTTACCAGTAAATGAAATTTGTCACATGCTCTTTCCTGAAAATTCCATTATTCTGAGCTTTGGGTTTCACGGGATAAATCACAGTCCTACCAATGTACGAACATTTATTTACCTAAAATAAGAGCTCTTTTGTTATGGGTGAAAAATTAGAAATGCCTTTATTATTATTCAATCAAGTAATTTGTTTAAATTTTATATGTACCTTATTTTATATAATATATGTATGATTTAAAAGTTCTGTGTAAATAACAATATTAGTAAACTGAGTTATGCTTTCCATTTATCTAAATATACAATTTCATCTGGTGATTTTATTTCTATTCTTAATTGTATTTTCTTTCATTTACAGTGACATTTACAGCCAGCCTCTAAAGTACGCTCTGCCAGTAATCTAAAATCTTGTAGAAAAAAATGAAAACCACTGTGTATTATGCCCTCTCTTTTTTAAAAAATGCAAAACAAATTAGGATTGGCAGTTTGAGAACCAGATGTATTATTTAGAAGCATCAGCACTGAAACCTTTGTGGCCACTTTGCTGTGCATGGATATGGAACTCCTGGTGATTTCTCTTCCCATAGTAGGTGGGCAGAAGGAAAAGAGCAGTGTGAGATGGATACGCTTAAAGCCTCAGAGCAGGAGAACCTCAGCCTCCATTTCTGTAATCCCTCCTAAATTAGCAAATGCCTGCAGTACCCATCTTCCCCTTGAACCTATCAACGGCAATCCAGTGGTCACACCTACAGATGTCAGTAAAACACTCTCCTTCCTAATTAATAGCCCTAGCTAATTTTATTAGCATTATATTTCAAAAGATTTTAAAGAATGCTCCACAGGCAGCATTTTCTTAAAGTGGCCGCGTTCACTGGAATAAGCAAATATTCTAAGCACTGGGGTCCCAAACAGTTTTCAAGGATCTGTGGGGTTATCAGCTGATGAAGGCAGAACATAAGTAGAGGCCAGCTGCTTTCTAGGGGCTGCCACAATTTAAAAGTTTAAATGGTTGTACTGTTCTTAAAATAGTTTTAAATACATTATAATTAAAACACTGGTTGTAATGGAATCAAAGTACCTTGTCCCTAAAGTTATTCTGATCAGCTATGGAATTACTTATTTTGATGAACTCAGGGTTTGAAGAAAACTTGTAATAATTTTTTCAAAATGAACAATCATTTATACACACCTTATCAATTTTATGACTTTTTAATCCCTATCTTTTTTTCAAAGCAGGGTATTCTATAACAAAAAGAAGTTAAACAGAAATTGAGATTTTTTTGCCTTAAAAAAAAGGAAAGAAAAAGGTACTATAGCAAGTTTAAATCTAGGTTTTAAATTTTAAACCACTCAGTGAAACTCTTATAAATTAATTATCAAATAAAAATACATTTAGGTTTATAGCTCACAACTTGGTATTTACTTAAACTTTGAAGGGCGGATTATTCAGGGCACCAAGTCCGTCAATTTAAGATATGTTGTCTTCTTAAAGTACTTTGGATATAGTAGATATTCAATAAACAGTAGGAGATTCGATTCAAGAGTACAACTATCATAGCAGGTGTGCATTATTGATAAAATGAGACATACACATTTGCTGAAAAAAATGACCTGATGAGCTGCAAATTGTTTTTGCTTGGATAATCACATGCAGGTATTCCCTACTATCTGAAAGTAGAGTGTTTTTATGAAAACTTTTGTAAGCCAAAGTGGCATAAAGCAAAAAAGCAATTACCATTAATTTAGACGGAAAATTTTTGATCATTCCCAGACCCAAAATAACCTACCAAAATAACCTACCAAAATAACCTACCAAATCTTACCAAATATGCTTAATTACACTCAGTTTTACCCTAAGCATAACACCCTTACGAGTTCTCTTAGGCTTTTCTAATATCTTAGGAAACATCTTGCTAACAGATGCACAACATAAATCTAGATGGACCACAGATGCTCACAGACACAGTTCAAAGCCTTGATGCTGAGATGCTGAGACGTAGTCCCAGAGAAGGAGTTTGGCAGGGCCACTGCCGCTGCTCAGGGTGCACGCTGCCTCTCCAATCCCTCGCTGCAAAACAAATGCTGAACGTTATTTTCACTTTAAACATTTTTTTTATAGAATCAAAAATCCTCTTTGGATTCTTTTGGTCAGAGAAAACAGGTGCTAATGTAGGTCTTCCCTAAAAGCAAAATGGCATAATACAAAATGTCGGAAAGCAGGAATTCCTGTATTACCATCACCTTGTCATGAGTATGATCAGTCATTGTTGACTCATTGTTGGATGTATACTTCTATTTTAGTCTAGCTGAAGTCCATAAAAGCTTTTTCTTTCCATTCACATGGCAATTTCAATGTTAATTAACTTAATTTTAATTTAATTAATTTTAGTTTTATAATAGTTCAAGTTGGTGTTATTTAATTTTGAAATAATTTGGTACTTGAGCATGCATTGCCTAATTTCCCACAGGACTTTAATCTATATTATGACACATTCCCTAGTCTTGACTACTTCCTGGTCTCAGAAAAACACTGATTTCTGCCAGTCATGATTCATAGCCTAATACTTATCCAGACTGACCTCAGTTCAAACTTGTCCAAGTATCCTTGCCCTCTGCTTCTCTTTTACCTTTGGGTTTGGATATACAGTAGTGACAAGAGATAATAATGAAGCACTAGTTAAAAAAAAAAAAAAAAAAAAACAGTGGGAGTGAGGAGACTTGTAAATACCTGGCCTAGAAAGTCCTAAATACAAGGAAAACAGCCGACCAGAGAGGTCAGGATCTATCCGTGTCATCCTCTAAATGTTAGCACGTTAGAGTAGCCCTTCGCCATCGCCACATCTTATCCTTTGCAATATTCTTCCTTCCTAGTTGGGAGGGCTGTTCAGTGAGTCTTAAAATAATTGAAACACCAATGAGGGGACCAGTAGAATAGATTTAATTTAGCAAGGATAAGGTTGGCACAGATGTTAGTGAAAAGAAAACAAACCACAATGTTGCACCGGTTTTATAACTAACCCAGCCAACTAACTTTATGTATTACCACCCCTTAAAACAAGCTGTGGTATGTTTTCATGTTAAGTCAACTTAGGTCATAGCTAATAACCTGGCTTTTAGCCTACTCAGTGTGTCACTTTCATAGTATACATCGAATGCTGTGATTATGACCTATTATATCATCGTATGCAGAAGGGTGCATAGGTGCTTTGCATATGATCTGTTGTATGAGAATATTTTCTGTTAGTATTGACCTGTGTATTCATTGTTTTAGTTTGAGCTCTCCCTCCAAGTGGGTTTGTGAAGTGGAAACATAGAATGATTGCAAAGTTCACTCATAAGAACAAGTCGAGGGAGGAAACTGGGAAATATTGAAGTAGAAGAATGAGGATAGAGGGATTGAGAGACACAATAGCTTTCAAGCCTTTATTTCCCTACCATTAGCAATAATCACCAGAAGTTTAAAGGTTCATTTGAAAGCCGTAATTTTTTTTTTTTAATGTCTGAATCACCAAACATCTCTGCATAGTACCTCAAGTAACATAACTTTCCTCTTTTAAGCAAAACCACACTGATAAAGCATGTATTACTTCTCTATTGCTGCTTTGACAAATTAGCACAGACTCAATGGACTGAAACAACACAAATTTATTACCTTACAGTTCTGGAGGCCAAAAGTCTAAAATAAGTCTCTGTGGGCTCTGGGAAGAAATCTCTTCCTTGTTCTTTCCCAGCTTTTAGAAGCTGCCATTGTTCCTTGACCTGTATCCCTCTGATCTCTGCTACTTTCCATCACATCTCCATCTCTCTCTGGCCACGACCCAGCCTACTGCAAAACCTATCCATTGAAACTCTTATTCCATGGAGAAGACAAGACAGTTTTTCACAGATTTGCATTGAGTAAAAGCTCAAAGAAAACCTTGAAAACATCCAGTTCAACATCATCATTATATGTTGATGAGACGACAAAACAACATTTTTTTGCCTCCAAGCCCTGTACTTTTTTCCACTGTAAGATGCTACCTATCCTCATTGCTAGGCCAGAACTTGGTATGTGATTGTCTTTCTCCACTTTTGCAATTGGATGCTGCTATTGCTACTATTTCCTTTTATCCTGACACTAGATTTATTAAGTAGAAGTTTAACCTGTTTTACTTTCTTAAAGTTTTATTCTCTTTCCACTAAATAACTTTATGTGTGAAGAAGTAAAAAGGGCCTCTTTAATATAAGAGTAAATATAGGAGTTTCATATACTTCTGACCCAATACTTTTGAATTTTCCTAAAACCATTTTAAACAACTGCTTCTAATGAGAGCTAACATTTTTTGTGAAAATTTTCACACAGGCCTGGGATAAAAACTTTATGTGCATTATTCTTTAGTCCTCACATCAACTCTATAATGGTACGTACTATTAATATTATCTCTTTAAAGAGAAGAAAATTTGAAGCTTAAGAAAATTAAGTGACTTGTGAAGGCTTGAACTCTGGGATTCATACCCCTGTCTAACTTCAGAGCCTACAATCTCAACCACAAAAGCATCAAGGACTTCTGTCCACAGTTTATTCAGGAAGATGGCTGGCTGAATTGAGAGCACAGTCATTGCTCACAGGGGTACATCAGGTCAGCGTGAGGATAAAACCAAACTTTGGCAGCAATTATACAGTCTAATAAAATTAACCAGCCACACCCTACAAATACTCTCTACAGCCACACCACTGGAACAAGATTCAATTCAATCCAAGATATGAGATCTGTTTTTCTTTTAGTGTTTATTTTCCTGTATAATTGTTGTGGATTTGAATATTTTTTACATTGGCCATATTGCAGAAATATAAGAATTCCAAGCTAAAAATTTTTTAAAGAGGCACAACTTCTTAGACAAAAGCATAGTATCTGTGATTATAATATCTATGGAAATATGCTGAAAAGCATCACCAATGATATCAAATTTGTTGGGCATGTTGTCTTAATGATTTATACTTAATTATTAAGGTTTAGTTTAATCCTACTAAAATGCTTTTCTTTTTAAACTGCTTGAAGATCTGTTTAAAGAAGATGTTAGTTTATTGAGATTTCAAAATAGCAAAAGTTAGACGATTAGGTGTGAAAAGCTATAAGTGAATGCACTATTGCTACACTATTAGACTAAGAGGAAGAATGGTCTAGTAAACTGATCTGTGTTTTTGTAGATGTAAATGATGAAAAGCTATTCTTTATAAGCCAAGCAACATTTACTATAGAATAGAAGTACTTTGTTTGATCACCAACTTTATTAAATCACAGCAATATAATAAATGTCTAAAAATTTTCTGCCCAATTGAAAATCAAGAAGAAATTCTAGAAAAAGGGTTGAAATTGCTAAATTACCAAAATATTCTGGACAAGGCAGGGTGGGAGTAGGGACTAAAGAAAGAAGAAAACAGTATTTGTAAATACTCAAACAATAAAGAATGGAATACACTAGCAATCAGCTTAGTACTGGAAGGAAAAAATATTCCACAGTCAAATCCTCAGAAAACTTTTTTAAAAAAAGATACGAATTTTAAGTTTAAATTCCTAGTCACATGGCCCCAGTTCAGGTAAAATTACAGCTTAACCTACATTAGTTTCATAAATTCCTTTAGTCCCCAATTCATAGAGCTAAGTCCCCTGCGAACGGGGTTAATGAGTGACATATTAGTGGAAAAGGAAAGGCCTGGCTCTCACAGGATGGTATGTAAAGGACACCAAAGGAAAGTAGGAGCAAGAGGAAGTCATTAAAAATTCAAGCAAGGCCAACAGAGCTCCCAAAAATGGAGAATGGAGAAAACCTCCAAAGTGACAAAGAGAAAGTAAACGCCTTTCATCATAAAATAGAATGTTCCTGGCATTAGTAGTAGCAATAAGATCGGTAATATAAAATAAGCTAGAACTACTAAAAATCATATTGAGCACTCATCTCTAAGGCACTGTGATTGAGCCTTATAGACATTAACTTAACAATAGGACACATTCTATTATTTCTTCTTTTTACAAAATGGGGAAACTGAAGCACCGAAGAATTAAGGAATTTTCCCAAGGTCAAACACCAAGGAAGTGATAGAATGAGGATTCAGCCAGAAAATCTGATTCCACAGCCCACACTCAGCTGACCCATTATCCCTTCAAGATGGAATCAGAAATGGTACGATACTTTTGAGTTGCTCACTTGGAAAACAGCTTGTTGTTGGACTCCTCCTTATTACGCTGTAGAAATACAAAGGTATATATTTTCTCTTTGGTTAACATCATGGTGTGAAGCTGGATTTTTTCTGTCCACCCACATTCTGAAAAAAAATCTTGTACAAAACCCAATTCAAACGTGGAAGGGTGAGAAATACAGCTGTTCTGGCAATAGCACATTTTCTCCACAACTCTTCATCTTCCTCACCTTCACACACACACACACTCACAGTGTAAGGGAAGATTAGACCCTGGTATCTACATAGTTCGTCTCTCACTGTTGAATCATCCCTGCTATCTTTATTTTCAGGGTGTTTATCATAACTCTTTTGTTCCATTTGCAACCCACTTGCTGGTGCATCATTCCTCTCCCTGGTTAAGATAAAAAAAAAAAAATCTTAATAGCTGTATCATGCAAAAACACAGATTTACAAATGTAATTTAAAAAAAAAGTAATAACATTTGCACTGGGTAAAGTGTTAAGCAAGGTGGAGTCAACAAAAGTGGTTCCAGTTTTCTTAACTCTTCAGCTTCTGTTCAGACAGATGACTTTCCAAATATGGTAAAATAAACACTGCCTTAAGGTAATGAAATTGTTTTAAAATTGGGGCGTTTGGTTATGGACTATAAAATTCTATATATTTTCTTATTTGCAGAAGGCCTATGACATTAACCTAGACAAAATTAAAATATTTGGAGTGACCACAAATAAATTATATCACAAACCCAGAATCTACAGAACAAGCAACAGAAGTACAAACATCACAAAATTTTGATCATACACTTCTGAAATGTGAGGGACATATTTTTCTCTTATATAGTTCGAGTTACTCCTTTAATAAGAATTGGAATCTTCACAGAAATGCCACAGTCTGTCAGACAACAGTTAACCCTTCTATCTCCATGTTAATTTTTATCAAGGTAGATTATAGAGCCGAAGATTAAAGACACTTTCTTTGATTTGCTCAAGTAAAATTCTTCTAAAATGTGTAATATTTTATTAGAATATACAAAGTAAGGACTCAGCGGACCTCTCACTCTAAATCTAGGGTCCATTTATAGGTATCAGAGAGGTGTTGATTGATTGAATATATTTTTAAGATGAGATCCATAGCCTGCATCGGAGTCTCAAAGGGACCTGTTAACAACGAGGACAACAAAAAAGGTTGAGAAGCATTGCTCTAGACAAAATAAAAAATCTGTCTCTAAAACAAGTCACTTTGTGTAGAATTCATGAATGAAAATTATAAACCTGAGCACGGATATATCAATTAATGAAGTCCAATAAGTGTTAACTTATTTTCTCTGTCTCAGTATAGTTTTAAAAAGGCATAGGCTCTTGTCTCCATGGTTTTTGCTTTGTTTTGTTTTGTTTTTTGTTTTTTTGGTCTCTTTTCAGTTTTAGTGTGTTTAGAATTTTCTGTATATGATTAAAAGAAGAAAGAAAGAGCTGTTAACTACTGCTATCAGTGAGTTCTCTTCATTTTTTATACACAATAGAATATTTAGATTTTCTTAATAATCAAGTAACTATTTAGAGGACAAACTAAATTAACCTCTCTCCCCTTGAAACAATTTTAGATAAAAATAGATTGGGCTTAATTTCTGCTAAATACATATACACTCACAGACCAAGGTTTAAGTTATTTTAACACACTTTGAGCATTGCAAAATTATAATAGTATAATGCCTACATATTGTTAAATTTTTAAATAGTTAATTTTAGAGTCATAAGGGCAGGATGATGGAGTGATTTTTATTTTTTTCCAAAAAATAATTTTTTCCTTAAAAAAGGAATGCCAGAAATACTTAACTTCTACAATTATAAGTTCTCAAATTATGGCTGTGATTCATGATCATGCTCAAGGCTTATTTTTAACCCAAAGTATGAACACAAAGTAGGCATTCAGTACTTACTTGATTTTAAAATGTTTGAACAAAAGCAAATATATCATTTAAAATATCACTATAAGCTGTTATCTCTACTATAAGCATCATATCTATATCCAATCTATTCACCATTTTCTTCCTTTCCCTCCTTCCAACAACTCAAAAGTTTTAACTGCTTTTTAGTGGTTGTATTTAAGTATTTCCTTCAAGTGCTAATGAACGTCACCTAGGTATTACAAAACTTCAAGCTCGCTAAAGAGTAAGTCTTTAAATTACATACAATTATTTAAGAAACTTAAAAAACTTAGAATTATTGACTCAGTAGAGCTGACTTTACTCTTGGGCACTATTCTCTAATGGGTCATAAAATATCAAAATTTTTAAATAGATCTTTTTGTCCAGTTATAACAGCTGATCCAAATCAGAATTATTATCTATGGTGGCCATGAATGAATGAACTCTGTATAGGTCAATTCTGTGGTTTTGTGCAGCCAGGGGCCAAAGTATCTGGCTAATTCAGTTAATAAAGAAATCTATAAAAATATCATTGTGGGGTATCCTGTAGACTCATTGATTTGAATCTGTAGTACCATGTGACAGTGCAAAATAATGTCCAACCTTAATTGGGAAACACAACTGGTTGTTTTCCCAAAATTCTTTTGTAAAATGTTAGCACAAGTAAGGTTCCATTCTTCCCACTTACTGTAAAATCTACTACTAATAAAAGGAAACCAATTTGTAGGTCCCACTTTAGGGAACTGTATGGTGGGTGCAAAGGCATGAAGGGAGTTTCTGCTTCTAGAGCCAGTGCTCTTTCCCCAGAATGTTCTTCATTGGCCCATATCATTTGCTTCATTTTGCAATCAAGTGTGACGTCATTCAGAAAAGGGCATAACTATGGAAGGACAATTCACAAAAGAGGAAATGAAAATGGCAAATATAAACATATGGGGAAAATGTTTAGCAATCTAAAATTTGCAGCTTAAAGCAATAATGAGATTCATTTCTTCCTTATTAAATAAAAAATGATGAAGAATTCAGTCCATATAAGGCTGGCTCTCCTAACTGCTGTTTGCTGGAATATAAACTGCTATATACTTCCAGGACAGTAATCTGGTAATCTCTGTCTGGAGGCTCTAAAATGTTCTTATCCCTCAAGAATTCCTTCCTCTTCTAGTATCCTAAGGAAATAATCAGAAATTAGAACAAAAAGTTATGCATAAGGATGATTAATCATTTGGAAACAACGAAATCCCCAGTATTAAAGAAGTAAGTAAACATTTGCTGTATCCAGACCATAAATATTTTATAAACATTTAAAATTATTTTTGCAGAGAATTTTTAAAAGGGAAATTTATTTTAATATTAATGGTGAAAAAAGGGTTACACTCTAATCATATAGAAAAAGATTATGAGTAAAAACACAACTGTATTTCAGAAGTAGGGTTAAAATAATTTTTCTCTGTTTCTTCATAATTTCTTGTACTTCCTAGAATATCTTCAGTGAGCATCTAACTGTCACCAAAAAATGAAATTTAGAAATGAGGAAAGTCCTCAGATTAGGATGGAGTTAATATGATAATTGACAAATATATAATAAAATTGACATATTTGTACTTGTATGTGAATGTCTCCCTTAGAATTCACAGAGGTAATTATATATTTTTAAAGTACTTATTAATCTAAATGAATATCTAATTGGTTTTATAAAACAAAGTGAAGAAAAAGTACAGCAGTTTGTAGGAACCTGTTCACAGTTTAATTTTCCAGGTAGTGCTACCATCAAGTCAGCCTCCAAAATTAGTTTTCCTAAACTTCTCACTTACCACTTTATTCTGCACCCTCACAGTAAGCTGTATTGCCTGGTGAAAGCAGAATCTAAGATGTGGCTATCTTTTAAGCCTAGGTCTTTGATAAATTCCCTGTCTATGTATATAAGCCTGCCTGTATTATTCTTTATGATTTATCTGATTGGCATACATAGCCTGTTAATATTGTTTTTATTTACTCTTTGAGCTGTCTGAAGAAGGCAAGATGGATAAACCTTAGATGCCAGGTTCATTACCTCCCTCCCTTATTAGCCTGTCTTGTGTATAAGATACACAAGACTTTAATCATTATTTCTGAGGATAATCACAAGTAATAATTATCAAGAAGTAGAAAATTGTTAGAAAAATTAAATTAATAACAAAAGAACCACAAGGAAGAAAACCACTACATTAAAATAAGGAATTGCTTTTTGAGAAAATGTTATGAATAAATGAATGGCTGTTGCCTCTATTTCCTGTAGCAGTCCTTCCACAGAGGAATAACAAACTCTCACGGGAAAAAACAGATCATTTACTCATAATTTACGGAATACCTAGGCTGTTTGAATTTCATTTGCAGCACTGCTGCTACAACTTACACATGACTTCTAGAAATATAGAAGTCCACATTTCTGCAGTTTAAGAGCAATTAAACCAGAAAGTAGGTGTAAAGTACTTGGAGAATAGAACTGGCAAGAGCAAACCTTCAGCATAGAGAGGGTCTCAACTGCATGGATCTAATTAATAGAAATGAGGGTTTTTTTTTTTTAATGCCTCCTAATATTAGAAAGAAGTGACCAGCAAACATTGGCACAATATCACTTTCTTGAAAGCTAAATAAATGTAGTTTCTTATTTTGGCAGGGTAGTACTAGTAGTATTCTAAATGTGTAAGGATAGTCCAAGAATGAAGCCAAACGAGCTGAAAAATAAAAAGCACAAAACAGTAATAGGAAAATCAACTTTACATTTCCATCCTGCAGATAACAAGTAAATCCTAACTTCACTATGTCCTGCATTTCCCTTTTAAAATAGTCTAGAACGCTACCCCTGGCATTTTAATGAATAGGCAGAAGTTATTTTGTTTTTATATTACCTTTTTTTTAAGCTTTGTCCTGTTAGATCCATGTATTTTATTTCTTAAAAAAAAAAAGAAGAAGAAGAAGAAATCAGGACATCCGGTTAAATTTGAATTTAAAAATACAAGTCATGTTTAGTATAAGTATGTCCCAAATATTGCATGGGGTATACTTATACTAAAAATAATTTGTGATTTATCTAATATTCAAGTTTAACTGTGTATCCTGTATTTTATATAGCAACCCTTAGGTAAAGTGAAAATACATTCTAAATAAAGAATACTTTCATTTTTTAATGAAACTCCTTATAATCTCACTTAAGATAAAAACTCATGCAAACATGTTGCTCCACGGAGTAGGACATACATTTATCTGTGCTTTAAACAAAAAGGTGGGAGGGACAACTGTTAGATTTAGAGCTTTCTATACTAACAAACTCAGCTTTTTAGCAAAAATGACCCTAAAACTTAACTTGCAAAATATGAAGGAAATAAGTAGAATTATTGCAGTATTTGTATTTTATAGTTACTACATAAAGGACAATAATAATGAGTAAATAAGTCATTTTAAATTGTACAATAAAAAACAGGCCTAGGCTACAAATAGAATATTGTTATGAATACATTTTTGATAATTTGCGGTAAAACCATCAACCATTCAAAATTTAATCCGATGCTTCCATACATGAAATAAAAATGAAAACCAAATTAGATGTATTTTATTAGATTTTGATTATGAAAGAAATAAAAACTTTCATTCTAAGAAATTATATTTTAAAGATATATCCCTGAGGAATAGCTTTCTACATAACTTACTAAATTAGTACATAGTCTCTGCATAGGGAAGATGACCATAAGAAGCTGATGAAAAAGACATCAACATTTTGCTAAGCTACGGTCTACCACTGACTGATGTGCAATGCAACATTTGTTGCCTTTAATTCTTTATTATAAAAAATTATATACCAATATTGATTTCTTATGTTTGATAAATATACCATTGTAATGTAAGATGTTAACAATAGGAAAAACTACTGGAACTCACTGCACTATTTTTACAACTTTTCTATAAATCTAAAATTATTCCAAAATGAAAGTTTACTTTAAAAAATTAAGTTAAAAAAAACCATACTACTGCTTTTAGAGTATAAAATAATAAGAGTAGTTCCAAAACCAGCTCACAGACATAAATACCATTTCTCTATAAAAGAAATTACTATTAGACTCTTCCTTTGAAACAAAAATTTTCTCTGTGAAACAACAGGTGAAATTTTAAGAATGGAACACGTCACTGATTCTGATTTTCCTGAGTATACATATTAAAACTTCCAAGTGAACACATGGCTAAGCAAAATATGTTCCCATTTAATTATTATACCGTATACTAAATTAATTATATCATATACTTTCTACAAAGTATATGCAACTGAAGAATATATAATATTCTTTTGCCAAAATATTTACAAGGTTGTTTTATTGTGCTCTATTAATTACTATTACAATATTCAATTGTGATAATAAACTAAAATATATCACTATTGAGGGCATAAGAAATAAATTATATGTGTACCTTACTAAAACTTAACTACTACAGTTTTAAGCCAAATAGTTATTTATTAGGAGAAAGAGCAAAACTTAATTTGCTTCATAGTACAAAGGCTACTGACTTGTCATCTACAAGAACATTATTTTTTTTAAGCTTTGAGAGAAATATAATTTAGTATTATTTTAAAAATGATTATTTTCCTTTAGATAATTCATATATCTCTACAAATTCTGTTAAAGAATATATATAACTTAATATTTGTAAAACATCACCAAATCCATGTAAATATCTTATAAATGCATCCCCACCTGCTACTAAGTTCCCCCTTCCTTACAAAGGCCATTGTTTATTAAATTGAAAGGAGAAAGAAACTGCTTATGCAAAAAGAAAGAAAGAAAAGAAAGAAGGCCAAAATAAAGGACAAGTATATAAAAGAGAAATGAAGCATTAATCAGTGTAGAAGAATGAGCACAAAACTTTCTGAAATGATGGGAAACCTGATGATAAGGTACCTGCATAATTAGGGACATTAAATTGGGTGCAAAATTGGGCAGCACAAATCCTTTATTTTCAGTCGAACTAGACAATCACCTGAGCTCTTGAGGGGTGGTGGGGAATCTACTTTCTTCTATTCCTGTGCTTAAAATGGAGTGGCTAAAAAACTTAAAGCTGGAAGGATTGGTTCCCTCAAAGACAAAGATAACCCTGGGTGAATTAGTGAGGTTTTTTCCAACATTCCCTTAGAGTATAGAGTGAAATGAGCATAATGTTGTAAATCAACTCATTGTTTGGGCCCTTTCAAATTAGTTGCCAAGAGAGGAGTGAAAACTTGATAAGCAGGCTCCAGTTTCTATGTGTTGATTTAGAAATCTTAAAGCTTGTGAGAGCTCAATTTATTTAATGGAAGAAAGTTAAAGAGAAGAAAAGTAAACAAGGAAAATGCTATGCAGTGAAACACTGATGTAAATGGAGTATAAAGGGTTTTCTTTAAACAACAAAACAATAAAGAGTTCCATTGTGCTTTTAAATTACAAATTTAGATTTCTTTGATTTAGGTAAAGAGTCTGATTTCCTTTTGAGTTTCAAAATGTCGTGATCCATTTAAATATTCAAACTGTTAATGCTGTTTCTTATCTATCTTGGGAGGATGGATTATAAATCAAAATCTTAGAGACTTAAGTCCATATTTTTCTAATAGATGACTATTTTGAATGAAGCAGCAAATGGATTTTTCCTTTAACCATGTCCCCCCCTACCCCCCCACC